TGTTGTCCCCGCTACAAGCTATTTCGATAACTCGGATGCTGTTAAGGGGCTCCTCAAGCCTGGAAATGGTCTCCTCAGCATATTGGATGACCAAACTCGGCGACATCGTACGGATATGCAACTTTTGGAAAGCTTAAGGCGACGGTTCGAGGGTAAGAATCCAGCAATTAACGTGGGCTCCGCAACGGCTAGGCTACCTGGAAGCAACTTTCTTTCAGAAAATACCGCAGCGGTCTTCACAGTCAAACACTTCGCTGGTGAAGTTGACTACCCAATCAAAGGGCTAGTCGAGGAGAATGGCGAAGTTATTTCCAGTGACGTGATGAACTTGATCAAGTCAAGTAAAAGTGAATTTGTTACTCGCCTTTTCGGTCAAGAGGCTCTTCAGACTGTTATGCATCCTCAAGAGAAGACTACGGTTATGCAAGCGTCGGTCAGCTCTAAGCCCATGCGTGCCCCGAGTGTCATGTCGAGAAAGGGGACGCGAACCATGGGATCTCGGAGGCCACGCCGACAGGAATCCCCTGAAGACCTCGTCAGCGAGGCTGGAGATCACAAAGGGGAACATAGGAAATCTAGCATACATCACTCCGAGCAAGGAGCATCTGGCCAATTCTTATCCTCCCTTGAAAATGTAAAGCAAGCAATCACGGCGACAAACACCAACGTCTATTTTGTATTCTGTCTCAAGCCCAACGATAGACGAATTGCGAACCAATTTGATAGCAAATGTGTCCGCATGCAAGTGCAGACGTTTGGTATCGCCGAAATAAGCCAGCGGCTGAGATCTGCTGACTTCAGCTTGTTCTTACCGTTTGGTGAGTTCCTAGGTCTTGCCGATGCCGAGACGATCCTTGTTGGCAGCGAGCGCGAGAAAGTTGAAGCCGTCGTCCAAAGTAAACAATGGCCCAGTAATGAAGTACAGATTGGTTCTACGGGTGTGTTCCTCAGCGAGCGCTGCTGGATGGAGGTGGCGCAATTGGGCGATGGCTCCTCAGCCGTGGATCGGTACGCGTCTGAGGCTGGGGGTGGATCAAGCCCTGGCGGGTTGCCATTTGGTGCCTCGAAAGAAGGATCGGTCGCCAGCAACACTCAGCCATATACCGACAAGCCTCGGGGCGGATATTACGGTAGCGGGGGAGATATAGATGCGCGTTCCGAAGCCGGGGTTTCTGCCTTCGGGGCCGGTGACATGTTCAAGAATTTGGACACCAGAGAACAAATGGCTGAGCGTGGAAACGAGAAATCACTCGTGGAAGTCGAGGAATACAAAGACAGTCCTAGTCGAAAACGATGGGTCTTCCTTGTGATGTTCTTAACCTGGTTCATCCCTGACTTCCTCATCCGCTGGATGGGTCGGATGCCTCGCAAGGATGTTCGGCAGGCTTGGCGTGAAAAGGTGGCTATCAACATGATGATCTGGTTCAGCTGTTTAGTTGCCGCCTTCTTCATCGTAGTCTTTCCTCAACTTATTTGCCCCAAGCAATATGTTTACAGCTCCGAAGAACTTTCATCCTATAACGGTAAAGACGGGGCCGACTCTTACGCGGCTATACGTGGTCAAGTTTTCGATATTGGCAGTTATGCTCCGAGTCATTACCCACCATATCTTCCTTCCAAGTCCTTGACGCAGTACGCCGGGCTGGATATCACATCTTTGTTCCCTGTCCAAGTATCGGCTCTTTGCCGGGGCAAGGATGGCACAGTCAACCCTGCAGTGACACTGGACTATAAGTCGACAAACATTACTGGCTCGGCCAATGTCATCAATAGCCAAGATTTGAATGCCCATTACCATGATTTCCGGTCCTTCACCTCTTTGCCTCAACCTTTCTGGTTCTATGAAAAGATGCAAAAGATGAAGCCATGGAAGAAAGGTACGATTGGTTACTCTCCAGAATATGTTGCAACCCTCGGAGGCAAGCAAAATTCAATTGCCATACTTAATAGTCGTGTGTATGACTTAACAAAGTATATCGTGGGCGGTCGACATGTCGTTGTCAAAGAGGGCGAAGATCTTCCAACTGACCCTACAATTGTGGATTTCATGGATGATACTGTTGTTGATCTCTTCCAGCAAATGAAGGGTACCGACGTGACCAAACTATGGAATGCCCTTGATATCGACGCAGATCTCCGCAGCCGCATGCAGTTATGTCTCGATAATCTCTTCTACGTCGGCGATGTTGATACGCGAAATTCCGTCAAGTGCCAGTTCGCCAATTACCTTGTCCTTGCTTGCTCCATCCTACTCTGCGCCATAATTGGCTTCAAGTTTCTTGCTGCTCTCCAATTTGGAGGTAAAAATATACCGGAGAATTTGGATAAATTCGTTATGTGTCAAATTCCCGCATATACAGAAGACGAAGACTCTTTACGTCGTGCTATTGACTCGGCTGCCCGTATGCGATACGATGACAAACGTAAATTGCTTGTCGTTATCTGCGATGGTATGATCATTGGTCAGGGTAACGATAGGCCGACCCCTCGCATCGTCCTCGATATTCTCGGTGTTTCTGAGACAGTTGATCCCGAACCGCTCAGCTTCGAATCTCTTGGTGAAGGTCTCAAGCAACACAACATGGGTAAAGTGTACTCTGGTCTCTATGAGGTTCAGGGTCACATCGTTCCCTTCTTAGTTGTCGTTAAAGTCGGTAAGCCATCGGAGGTTTCCCGTCCTGGAAATCGTGGTAAGCGAGATTCGCAGATGGTCATAATGCGTTTCCTCAATCGCGTTCATTACAACCTGCCTATGAGCCCTCTAGAGCTAGAGATGTATCACCAAATTCGGAACATTATTGGTGTCAATCCCACATTCTACGAATTTATGCTTCAGATCGATGCCGATACGGTAGTTGCTCCCGACTCGGCGACACGCATGGTCTCCTCATTCCTAGATGATACACGACTCATCGCTGTCTGCGGCGAAACAGCCCTGACCAACGCAAAATCCTCATTCATCACTATGATCCAGGTCTACGAGTACTACATATCACATAACTTGATCAAGGCTTTCGAAAGTCTGTTCGGCAGTGTAACTTGTTTGCCCGGTTGTTTCTCTATGTATCGTATCCGAGCCGCCGAGACAGGCAAGCCACTCTTTGTCAGTCGTGAAGTCGTTGAAGATTACTCAACAATTCGTGTCGATACCCTGCATATGAAGAACTTGCTTCATTTGGGTGAAGATCGTTATCTAACGACTCTACTCCTCAAGTATCACTCAAAGTATAAGACAAAGTATATCTTCAGCGCTCATGCGTGGACCATCGCACCGGACTCCTGGCAAGTTTTCCTGTCACAGCGTCGTCGTTGGATCAATTCAACGGTACATAACTTGGTGGAACTCATTCCTATGGCACAACTCTGCGGTTTCTGTTGCTTCAGTATGCGATTTGTCGTGTTTGTCGATCTATTGTCGACGGTCGTCCAGCCTGTGGCTATAGCGTACGTCGTATACCTCGTCGTTCTAGTGTGTACTTCGACGAGTGTTATCCCGGTAACAGCCTTCATCATGCTTGGCGCTATATATGGTCTCCAGGCAATCATCTTTATCGTGCGCCGCAAGTGGGAAATGATCGGATGGATGCTTATGTACATTGTGGCTGTTCCGGTCTTCTCATTTGGTCTGCCTTTATATGCCTTTTGGCATATGGATGACTTCAACTGGGGTAATACTCGTGTGGTCGCCGGAGAAAAGGGCAAGAAGATTGTCGTCACAGATGAAGGCAAATTTGATCCTGCTTCGATCCCACGTAAACGGTGGGAAGAATACCAGGCTGAGCTATGGGACGCTCAAACTAGCCGAGATGATGTACACTCCGAAGTCAGCGGTTTCAGCTATGCCACCAAGCAGGGAATGAACGTCGGTGTAGCCGAGTACTATACGCCGTCTCGACCTGGTTCCACTAACGGCATGGTTCCGCCATACGACCTGAAGAATCCCAACCATCTCAGTCGTATGTCGTTCGCCCCAACTGAAAACCGATTGAGTCAATTTGGCGGTTCGCAGTTCTTGGGCAACCAACTGCATGATGTAGAGATGGCCAATCTAGCAGGCATGCCAAGCGACGATGCGCTGCTAGCAGAAATACGGGACATCTTACGTACAGCAGATCTCATGACCGTAACTAAGAAGGGTATTAAGCAGGAGTTAGAGAGGCGGTTCGGTGTTCCTCTTGATTCCAAGCGATTATACATCAATAGTGGTATGTCTCCATCTTATCTCCCCATTATGATAATACAAACACTAACAAAACACAGCGACCGAGGCCTTGTTGACCGGCCAATTATAGAAACCAGGTTAATACGTCGTCCAATATTACGATTTCTGCTATCATATTTCTGCATATATTTAGATGGCCATGTTTTCACTATTTATATAATACCGCTGCATTACATATTTCAAAGGGGAACAACTCGCCACAGGCCAGACATGGGTCGGACAGGAAATTCATCGGAGGTTAGGAGTCAACAAAAGCAGAATTAGCAAATTACTCTTGGTTAATAGCTAAGTTAAAGCGGTGCTCGATCTTGATACGCCCGCAATAATAATGGGAATAATCTTGTTAAATTACTGGTCTTATCTCATTTTGATCAATATCTAGCCAGGGAGAATGGAGTCTTGAGATTTCAGCTATATTTCTTCCTTTTACATCGGTGATTTACTAAATAAAGCTAGACATAGTGTTCATTATCACTTAAATATTTCTATTATTATCTCTATTAGATTCATTAGCAGTGTAGTAGCAACTTGACTACCTACACGAGGCCTTATCCGAGTCGAACCTATGTGATTAATCCAGAGTCTATCCCAACAGATTAGGACAGCAATTAAACTAACATCTAACATTTACTCCAATATATTAGTTCTTAATAAGCACTGGATAAAAGTTAAGATTGGATTCTATTCGATTCAGAATCGGTGTAGCCTCGAAATACTTCTCATGCATAAGCTCAGGAGTGCTAAGCCATTCATTCTCCAAGTTTAGGCATATTAGGTACCTCTCTTCGTATTAACATAGTATGTTAAGGAATATCTCATACCCGACTACTCGCCACTCCATATCTAACCAAACCGAGTACGGCCCCCAGGACTATAGCAATTGGTGGTGCCACGCCGAAATAACGACCCCCAACATAGGCGGTCGCAGTTACAATTACCCACCAAGGATCATCACCAAGACTCTTCCCAGACTGGAACCCTTCATCAATGTAGCCCACCTGCCAAATTCTATACACAGCCGTATATATCAGTCCGACGGCGCCAGCGTTAATACCTCTTACTCCAGATTTTACCCAGCGCCTACTCCGTAATACCCTCCAGATTCCCATTGTACCGTGAACCAGGACGATCCCAGGGAAGAAAATACCACAGAATGCGATAATTGCTCCGGTGATAGAAGGATATCCGTGATTAATAGCCGTTAAGCCACCTAGGAATACGGCAAAATTGAAATTTGGACCGGGAAAAGCTTGCGCGATAGCAAGACCAATAAGAAAGTCACGAGGACTGACCCAACCCTGAGCCACCACGTATTCTCTTAGAAGCGGGATTACAACCGGTCCACCCCCGAAAATGATCGTACCAGCGAGATAAAGGTTAGCAAAAAGTCTATATAGTACAGGGAGATCAGGTAAAGCCCCCCGGAGTACCATGACGACGATAAATGAGATAAAGAATGTCGATATAATGGCCGTCCCAGACTTCCATGAAAATTCAAGAAAGTATCCCGGCGGAATAATGCGCGGTTCAGAATAATCGCTTGTTCCATTCCCATCCCGGTTATTGAGAGACATGCTGGGGCCATCGGTTTCTCCCAAGTCACCTTCATCCTGAGTCGTATTCTCCTCCAGATGTGTGGGGCTCCTTATTCTCAAGAAAGCATCCTTTATAACCAGCCAAAGTTGTTGTAGCCAACGATAGTCATATATGACGGCAGTGCATGCAGCAGTAAGCATAAGGACTGGGAAATACCATAGCGCGTTGTATAGCATTCCTGCTGCAGCGGTTAAGAAGACGAGGATTCTAGTAAGCTTATCCGTGATTGCTTTATTAGACAGATCGACGGCCGCTAAGGCGATAATGCCGACTGTGGCGGCATTAAGCCCAGAGAGCAAAGCGTATACGGCTCGGGGAAGAGCTTCCCCAATGTTAGAGACGCCGACAGAAAGGCCAAACATGCCTAACGCCCCTGGCAAACTATCCGCGAATGCATCGTTCTTAGGTCAGACATATATAGATGATGGTATGAATGTTGCGAATTTTGAGCTTACCTCCAGATAAAAAAGGCGAGAATCGCTCCAAAGAACCCATCCTGAATGAGATTCACACAGTAGAGCATCTTCGTACTAGCAGGACCAGAAAGGGCTTGGCAAATGCTAAAAAGCTCCTGATACTAGAACATGACGAAGTTATTAGCTCATTATCGCAAGTCGTGTTAGAATATTATTCAACATCAACGAACTTACCACTTGCTCATCGATCCAAGTGAGCTTAGACACGAACTTATCGTGAAACTACAATAATTATTAAGTCCATTCATCGGCTTGGAAGACGAGGAAGCTTTAGAAACCTACGATCTTGAAGTGAACAGGGGGTCCACCGAACGAGGTGAACCCAAGATGCCAATTCACTCTAAGTGTCTTCCAGCTTCGCCGTGCGACTCTCCATCCAGCCTCCTCCCAAGAAGTAGCTATCATTTTAGATATATGCCCCGGCTACAGCGCCGCGTTGTCGTTATTGGAGTACGGACTTGAGAGCAGCGCGGAGGGAAACGAGGGAGTCATGATGGACATAGCGAGAATTGAACTACTATCGGATTGAGAATTAACCCGAAGTCATTTACAGGGGTGCAAAGTTGAATGGTCTTGTCATGTTAAGGGCTTGGTATTTCCTCTTTGGGGAAAGGTGTAGGTAGCTTCAGCCAAGCCGGCCTAGCTTCATGACGTGACAACGTAGAGGTATATAATTAGGAGTAGATAAACTCTATAGGAGCAACAACTTATATCCTAGGTGGTTATGAGATTACGAGTTCTCATACGAGGTAATCAATAAGCATTCTTGTCACCATAGTCATTAACTAACTACCCCCTTCCTACTTATCAACTGTTCATTTTCTTTTCAGAGCTAAACTAGCTTAATATGAACCTAGTTCAAGGCACAACCGAGAAAAAGGCTATGTCATCGTCTTGTCATATACAGCTTCTCACTTATACATAGGTAGATATAAGGGTGCGGCGTAACGTATAACGTGGGGGTATGCAGGGAATGTTTATGATATTAACTACGGCCCCTAGGCCTCCATGACTTTCTGCTATACTCTTCTGACTTTCAACTACCTACCCAGGTACGTTAGGGCGGGTAGCTTACTGACGCCCTCAAGTAAATTCATTAATACTATTCTATATGTTTCGAAGTTAATTTAGCATTTTACCTATTGCCTGTAAGAACTAGGCACCTAGGAGGTAGTCTTAGTTTTTGAAAAGGGGGGCCAATCGAGACCTTCATTTCTTTACCACATCTACCCTCATACAAATGAAAACGAAAACGCATTTATACCACCCTTAGATACTTCCCAGAATTTTGAGAATCTTCTCAATTTATTAAGGGGTGTCACATACAGCTTTTGGATTTAAAGCATACCTGGGTAATCCGTGTTAGTTTAACGTTAAAGCAACGGTTATCTTATAAAGTAGAAAGCGATTTTAGCGGTATAACTACGGGACTTTATATCTGCCTGGGCCACTATATCTTATCAACTATGCTATGGTAGCTTGTTAGTAAGTTTAAACCCAAGTCGGACCAAGATAATGTGCATCGCTTGATACCAGTAGGTATAGTCTAATACTTTTATATCTCTAGTACTTCAAGAGCAAGCCTAGCGAGAGAGAAAGCCATTGCTATTGCGATTGGTATTCGCCGTAGGGGGTTCTATAGAGAGGGGTGTGTTGGGGGTCGTACAGGTGTCAATTTGGGGGCGGCAGTTGGGTTTTACGGCAATCTAACTTAACCCACCTGGTATTTCTCGATTTCTTAGTTATCGCAGTATCTAAGCTTACAAGATAGATAAGTGGTCAACCCCGATGTAAAGACGCTACGAATATAATGAATTATCTTATAGGTCCTAGATTCTATGTAGGACCTAGAAATAGGACTGCGCAATGTTAAAGGATTGGGCTGGGGGTGGGGGCTAAAGGACCACTAACGGTACGGGCCGCTCCATCATCCATTAGTGTGCATTGAGTAGTATGTAATGCATTATGAAGGCTTTCTTGATCTTTCTATAGCTCTTAATTATTCGGGTTAAGAAAACATATGAATAGTGATAACTAGGCTTTTTCAACAGTTCTGATTCTCGTTTTTCTATCTCGGGCCACAGTACGAGCCGAGCGGTATGTGCGACATACCAAATACCACCAAGAATATACCTATAGCAAGGCTCGATATTACATACCTCCCGGTAGGGGGTCGTATCATGGATCCACACGTACCCCGGGTCCGCTATGACTCCTGGGTGGCTGTGCCGTAGCTGAAATGTATTGTGCTACGTAGTAATAAGGCAGCTGTTTATAGAACCATTAATTATTGATTTGAAACCCTAATTCTCTTCGACTGACTTTCTTTCTGGTCTGAATGCTAATATCTATTATCCACTAAGTTATCCAAAGCCTACCTATGTTTATAGATCGCGATTAGTTGCGTCTTATGTCCCTATAACTAACCGAAGAGATGAAGAGGGAAATTAACGTGACCAATGAGTCCTATCCAGAATATTCCCAACCGGCGCAGTACACTGTAATATCAACCGAGTTGAACCAGGAGTCCGCCAACAGTTCGGGAGAAGAATTAAGATATAATTCCTACCATGATATCAGCTTCGAGAACAGAAACGCAGGCTCTAGGAACAGGAATTCGGCATATGATAGCCTCCTGATGGAGCCGATAAGTGACCCGGGAGCAGAAGAAGCACTGGAGGGCAATGAAAAGAAATTCGTTACCATAGGTCCTCGACGGCGACTTTTTAGGAGCTGGATGTGGGAAATCGGCGCATGCTTTCTTAGCCTCGCTAGTATTGCAGCAGTGATAGCTGTTCTATCTGTCGAGAACCACAAACCCCTGGATCAGTGGGCTTGGAGCATAGGCCCGACAGCTGTAGTATCTTTCATCGGAACAATCGCCAAGTCCGCTATGTTAGTCGCTATAGCCGAGATTCTTAGTCAACTCAAGTGGCAGCATTTTCATGGTGAGACACACCCTCTGATTGACCTTGAGATCTTCGATGGGGCTAGTCGAGGACCAGTAGGGGCTATCCAGCTCTTGTGGATGAAAAATATTCGGACGCTACTGGCATCCTTGGCGGCGATCGTCGTCATCGTGTCAATGCTCGTCGACCCATTCGTGCAATTGGTTTTTGAATTTCCTGCTCTTTCTCGGCCGGTTTCAACTGCCAGCGCATTCTTAAACCAAACGCAAGTATACGATCCGAATGGGTATATTATGGACGCCCATCTTACGGGAACTACAGGTAAGTCTTGGTACTTTTATTATAACTTATAATATTAGAAGTCAAATAGGAATTGTAATTGGCCCCTTATCCAGTCAAGAAACGAATGCAATGGACGTAGTTATCTATTGCCGAGACATGAATTTACCAGTGTCCTGTCGGCTTCCGGCCTTCCCCCCTTTTGTTTCTCTTAGGTACTTGGGCATATGGTATCTACCTGTTTAAGCGTTAACCAATATCTACTTCTACAGCGTCGGCTGTCAACGCACAGATGCAAGCAGCAATTATCAAGGCAGTGTCTGAACAACCACAGCCGCCCGCAGCTATCTGCAGCACTGGAAATTGTACTTGGCCTCCTATTACCACACTTGGGGTCTGCGCCGACTGTACAAATGTTACGCGACAAGTCAATATAACTTGCCCGGGTCCAACGGTGGCGAATCATGGGCAGTATCAATGTGACTACGGTATGCCGTCCGGACGGAATATATCTGGCTTTATGTTTCGTGCCGGTGCTTCTGGCGATGTTTTCCCTACGAGATGGAATTCTTCTGCCCTTTCGCTTGGCGATAATCCCGGGGATGCAGGCTCAGATGCGCTCTTGGCCTATATAGAAGCTGTACAACTCAAGGCTGCATTTGATTATGGCACCGACGATATGTCATCGGTACTTCGACAGCCGACTGCTTGGACATGCAGCTTCGCCCTTTGCGCTAAGACGTACGACAGTCTAAGTATGACGAATGGAGAAATGAGCACCTCAACGCCAACCGAAGACATCATGGTTCTCACCGGCAATACTACCAATCAAACTACACCCGTGGGGGGAGGACTTTCCGGCTTGTCTTTTTACCAGGGCTTGAAGGTTAACTCTAGCTCATCCTCGGAAGACGCATACCGCATCAACCAAGCAGATTATGCGAATCTAGCAAACTATCTCACGGAGCTCTTTTCTACGGGTTGGGGCGAAAGAGGATTCGGAGCGTCGAACCGTGTACAACAGTCCACAGCACCGAACTTAGGGTGGGGACTCTCAGAAGCTGAGGATCTTGCGCAGACGGTCCGAAGCATTGCTGAGGGTATGACGGAGATTATGCGAAATAGCCGCAATAGCACGCCGATAGCAGGAGAGGCCCTCCGTACTCGGGTCTACATCGAAGTCCAGTGGGGATGGATGGCATTACCTCTTACTCTCATCGTATTAAGTCTTTTTCTCCTCGTTGTCATGGTTGTAAGAACTCACAGGAGTGACTTACCGGTCTGGAAGAGCTCTAGCATAGCCCTACTTTCTCACGAGGTGATTGGCTGGGCTCCTGGGGATGGAGTTCTAAGAGAGACCTCGACACTACAAAAGGAGGCGAAAGATATATCAGTTACGCTACCAAATGGCTCGCAAGACATGAGGTTTTTCAAGAATTAAGCGTTTTAAGAGCATTATAAAATATAAACAGATATTTCCTAATAACGATGATGATTATGATGATAATGAACTCGTTCACGTCTAGTAGACGTGTAGGCTTATGTATCTTGATAGGTACTTGATAACTGCACTTAATCATGCAAGATACAACTATCACGCGTGACACCCGGAGCATCCGTTCCAAGGGATACTGCCAAAAGTATCGCCTGGCATAAGAGACTATCTACTTCCTACCTATAGCATCTGGCCCCTACCTGCCCACAGCATCCTATATTCTCTTCAATTGGGACTAACGCTAAGTAGCCATCTTTTGCCAGCGAAAACCATTGGGTATAGCCATATGCGAAGTGGACTCGGTTATTTCTTGTCCATACTTTTTGCGTAGCTCTACTAGTCTAGGATTTTAATAACTAGTAAAGGCATGATATCAAAGCTCAATATGGACTATGAGAACCGTGGCTGAATATTTAGCGATACTATTGCCTATTCTCAAAAAAGAAAAAAAAAGAAGGAAAAAAGCAGATAATTCGTGGAATTTGATGCTGGGACTATATGAGGAGATAATAGGGGTAGAATCACACTGGCCTCCCTATTAAGATTCAATATTACAGATACTATGGTAAGGAGGTAGTTACTTGAAGAATTCATTAGAAGTCATATTTGAAACAAAACAATGATACAAGTAGGCGTAACAATAAAAACCTATAGGACAACGAAAAGAATTATATAATAAATTGTCTTTTGTCAACTCTTCTCATACCCCTTTTCTCGCTCGTAATAGGTAAAAATTTCACGTAGGTTTCCACCTTGGATTATCAAACGCACCATCTTGCAACTCAATATAATTACTGTTTCGTAAAGCATCATGCCGGAAATGGTACGTTGAAAGCGCAACCCCGTCCGCGGACCGGGGAGGTGTTGTCTCCGAGTCATGTGTTCCTCGAGTGGTTCGAATTCCTCTTATCGAAAGGGTATTCTTCATTGAAATACTAGAAAAGTGATTTCCCGAACTCCAAAAGTGCTCGTAAAACCGAGGGAATATTGGCATACAGCCTACTACGATGGTGCCTGTAATCTCTGCAAACCTGTGTATAGGTAGTATGAGCAAAGAACTATCCATATCATGGCCAAGGTCCACACTTACGTCCAAAGACCTACTTTGGCTACAGCCCTGGTCTGATTCGGGTCTGAAATCAGGGGAACTCGGTAACCCACGCCCAAGGCAGCAATGACGCATGTACTGCGACGCACTTATGAGCTTCAAAATATTAGTTTAAAATATAAAGTAAACAACCAGCTCACCAGATTCCCACAGAAAAAATGGCCACAACTCGGAACTTGCGCTTCGGATTCATTTGAAGATGCCATATCGCCCATATAGGCACTAAGAGTATTCCAAAGTCCAGTAGGAGATTTATAATTCCGACTGATAGTATTGCTCCATTAGCGCTGATACAACTCCCTTCGACGACGGGATTCCATATTCTCTCCCGTGGCGTACACTGAAAGAGGAAGCTGAAAAAGCAGGCGATATAATAGAGAATGGTTGCGGTTGTTAGAACGTTGATGGCCCACCAAACTGCGTTCTTGTTGCCTCGGGGGCAAAAGATCCTCTTGAGCTGGATGAGGATAAAATACTTCGCACCCATCATTGCAACCGAGTAAATGAGTTCGAATGTATTAGTCATCTAATATCGTTGAGCTTGAACTATTGCTATAGTTTATCATAAACCGCTTACGTATAATATATAGGGCATATCGATGGCCCGGATATTCCATAGATCGCGAGTGGAACCAAGAGCAGATAGGTAGATATAAATAATACACCAGACAAGAAATCCAGCCTACAGAAATTAGTATTGGGTTTTTGAAATGACATGTTGGCGTACCAAAGCTATAAGAGCAACATCTTTATGAGTTAGCTTATGACACTCGGTTAGATCGGGATAGGTAGAGTTTACAATCTTCATGCTTCATATCCTTCATGATAGCCAGCTTTGTATACGTTCGGATTCCCACTGCGAGGGTCATAGTGACCATGCTAATAATACCAACTATAAGAGTTGCTGTATTGAAAGAAGGGGGGTCAACGAAATTTGATTGTATGCCAGGTGGTGGTTCAAGCGCCGGTGTGGCTTCTGTACTTGGTTGGGATGTCATGATAGCTGTAGTAGCTACTAGTGAGATTACCCGATCCGATTGACTTTCAGGTGGAATAGGGAGTAAAGCTTCTTCGGGAACGCAGAATGCTTGCTATTATCTAGCTCGTGAATTTTAACTACCGTCTAGAGTATATATCAGAGTATATATCCGGATAGGCGCGGATATGAATGGCGATCCAGGCATAGAGCATAGAAGAAGGACGAGCCACGGCGCTATAATTCTAACAATATGATGGTGAAAGGAGGCTGGTTCAGACCAGCTGTGAATTGTGGCTATAATCTTATGTATCTGGCCGCCATCGTGGGTAGGTACCACAGCAGGACTTCTCACCTACGGCTATACATACCAGGTACCGACAGTGTTCTTCGTGGTAGATGTCTCTTATGTAACGCGCATAAAATCTGTACTGGGTTCATGATTCGGCTAGAACTTAGGGGTAGTATTCATAGGTAGGTAGGAAATTGTTACCTATCTCTAGACATCTTAGGTACTAGGTAGGTATGTAAGGGAGGTGGCATGATTATCCAATTCAAATTTGTATTATAACATACATGATGTTACCTTGCAGAAGGCAGCATCAGATAGGTAATGTATAGTAAAAGACCTAAGGTAAGCTGTTATTACCACCGTAGCAGCAACCCCACCTGTCCAAACGCTGATAGGCGCAAAGGGGCTATGCGGCCAGTATTTTATCGCATATACTTATGCCGGTTAGAGGGTTGACAGTACCTACCGGTATGCTCGGATTTCCAAAATAGAAAGCCATGAATGCATATTATTTAACTATAGGAAGTAAACTCGGAGGCCCTATTAGAGAAAGGTGTGAGATAGGCAGATCATGGAAAGATTATGGCTCTACGCGTAAGCCTTTACCCCTTTTGACCTGCTCTCATATGTACCTAATACAGTTAATTGTAATAGAGTAGGTAGTATTTTTAGGATATTATAGTGATAAATAGGATACTGTACTCGATAGGTGGATGTCCTTCCTCCTATAAACCCCATCTAGACGCTGATTCAAGATAGGTAGGATTCTGTGATACTTGAAAAACATAAATTTATGAAAAGACGGTCAACTTAATTCTTGGCAAGTCAGCCTTCTCGGTGTTTCATTGAGATATGCTGCGCGAGTGTTACACACCCACACCCTTTTCCGATACCAATACCGTAGCATTACCATCCAACCCTCTCTCCTCTCAACGAGGTAGATTCAATGTATCTTATGTAAAGCAAGGCCAGGTCCTGTACATTCGTGGAACCTAGCTTATGCCAGCTTATCAGCCCTACAATATCATTTTTAATGCAGATTAGGCCTACAAATAAGCAGTCTACCTAATTATTGGATAACTGAAGGAAAGGAGGGAGTGAGGGCATTTGTGTAGTGACACGTGAAGTAGAATACCGAAGGATGAGAGTTTTTCGATAGCCCCAATTCGTGTTCTGTAAGAGATTATTAATCTGTAGCTATGAGGTATCATAGGCCGTAATAATCAGCTAGGTAACTTGAAGCCGCCAGGCACAAGTTTCTGAAAGACATGCTCTGGGTCGTATCTGGACTGAACCGCCTTCAATCTCTTGATATTTTCTTCTCCATATTGGCCAATAACATCTTGGTCCCAGCTCGCATCATTCATGAATAAATAAGGGATATAGCTATCTCCTCTCGTTGATGCCTCTTCAATTACGCCTGTTATATTCCGTATTGAATTGTGTACGGTCTTGTCATCCTTTTCGTCCCACCAGCCTGCGTCGATTACGTACCACGTTTGGTCAACCGGCCTTAACCCTAATGCATTGCCGCCGCGGGCGTAACCTGCTTCGATTGCGTTGATCGAAATGGGCTGCATTCCGAAAACCACCGTACCAGAGGTAACATTTCCAATTCGTCCCAAAGAGGGAATTTTGCCAACGAGATCATAGAGTGATGTATACAGAGCTTTGTTCGGCGTGAAGCTTGTCGTAGACCAATCAACTCTCCTGATAAAGCCTGATGAGCAAAGATATGAATGTAAAGTAGGACATTCTTACCTTGGGAAATCCCCAGGCCCTTGTCCCGATAAAAACTCGGTGAGAGTTGTAAGTTGTGTCGAGTCTGATATTGTCTTGATAGGGTAAAAAGGAGCAAATGCGGAGGGTTCCTCTTCCGGCTGCAAATAAACTAAGCTGAGTGCAAGCCCCATGTTTTCACCGACCAGAATGCCTTGAAGGTCCAAATTCGCGTACGGGTCCTTTTGAAGAACTGTCTGATATTCTAACATGGCACTGTATAAAGAAGGTAGGTCGCTATACGCGTAGGTTTTGATCCCAGCCCAAACCTGGTGGATAGGATAGGTGGAGAGAGTAAACGATGTCACGATTCCTTTCAAGATTTAGCGTTAGGTATTCATAGTTATGAGCAAAGAATAACGTTACAGGAACTTACCAAAGTTGTTACCCCCGCCCTTCAAAGCCCAGAATAAGTCTGGATGTTGGTCCTTATTGGCATTGGCGATTGAGCCGTTCGCTAAGATGATCTAGACCCCTCGGGTTAGCAGTGGTTCAGGAGAGCCCAAATTTTTATAATTTATACTTCAAAGTTCACAACATTATCACAAACCAAACCGTAGAGGTCGGACAGATATGAAAGGCCGCCTGTAGCATAACGTTATTAATTATACCGAGAATCCTTGACTAGGAAACTAATGGAGCCAGTAGGACTTACACCCAAGAGTGAGTCCGCCTACACCAACGCCGAGGACCCTACCTCCAACAACAGTGACATTAAATTGATCGAGCTGAGCGTATAAATCTCCCCAGGTCAAGCCCGAGCCTACAATTACAGTATTAGTCGAAGCGTCATAATCAACGGTATTAAACCCTGATAAATCGATAAGTATTCCCCCGTCGATATTGGCTGCCTGGGGGTCCGGTGAATGACCACCGGAGCGAATCGCAAATTTCACCTTCGACTGGACAAGTAAAGGTACGGCCTCCTGGAGTTGCTCTACCCTATTTGGGCGGAAAATGCAAGATGGGAATCTCCACGCCGTTTGTGACCTGTTCAAGTTAATATCTGCAACAAATAGTATAGACATAGCAACATTAGATTACCAGTTTTCTGTCCGCAACTCTGAGTACTCGGTTTCATCCGGCGTAGTGATGAAATATTTAAAAGTTGCTTTGAGATCCTGACATGCGGCAACAGTATTTTCGCCCGAACTAACAGCTGGATCTGGATACAAAAAGCAAAAGAGACACCAAAGGGTGACTATGACAAAAGTTGACGCCATGGCCGGGACTCGCGGTATGGAAGTGAAGTTTTGACTGAATCATAAGATGTGTATTATACCTGGATTGCTTCAAAATGGGCTATCACAGCATTTCTATCTTTACCTAGCTATAGACCTGCTAACCTGCTTTTTCCGAGCTTTCTATAGCACGCTCTTAGGATGCTCTCGTGTTACATCACGACCGAAAAAATAAACAGGCAAGGCTTAGAAAACTCTCTTGCATGCAGCCTATAGTATTCCCCGCAGTCCATCTGATATTGGCGTCTGTTACAATACATTCTTCTCGACAATACCGGTGCCCCTATCCGTCGCTATTGGCCAATTAGTATCCTTCTAGAACCAAGCGACAGGCCGATTTATGATCCACAAAATTGAGGCTCGCTGAAAGTGACCTAATCAGGTAGGTCGTACTGTTTAATGCTACGTCAACACTAACTTGCATCCAAGAAATCGACGTCGTACACATATTCATCACGCCTATACCTAATGGCTGGGCTGGTAACACGATGCAGGCGTGGGTATGATCACAATGCCGACTTGACATCAATTAATTTATTCAGACCATTTAAAGGTAGGGCTGGGAATTGACTCTGCCTAGTAGCACCGACATTGGCCAGTCAAAAGAGTAATAAGTAACCGTGGTTCCGACCGGAGCAAACGGCTCCCATGGTTTTTCACACCATTTTATGCCTGGCGCCTCGCAAATTTTGCCCTGAATAGTGCTTGACTGCACCTCGGGAAACCCAAATTAGAACCGTTGTTTTTTATAGCAAAATTTTCTCTTTGGATTTTTATTTGGATTTTGGTTTGCTCTTTCGTAAGGGGATCAACAGGTACGAACACTTACAATGTCGAGTACAAGCCCAAAAGGCGGGGCAAACGGGAACGCTTTGAATATAATATGCCATCGGGTTTAATTTGTAGGTAGGATATTAGAGACGTATCGTGTATACCTATAGACTCAGATAGCTTTATATGCCGTATATCTATAAGGAGGCCTGGTATGTAGTACTTACGGCGTTAATCATGCAATAACAATAACAACAGCCACCTTACACCTTCTTGAATAATGCCTATAGGACACCCCCATCTTGACCTTAAGAGACGGTTTAAAGGTCAATGCAAAGGAGCTGTGGAAAATGGCATCTTAGCACCCTAGTACGAAGACGTACTTCCATTAACTTGACATCCTTGTGTAAACCTCGGGTATTTTACCTAGAGATTGTTATATTCTCATCTAATGCGCGTATCGCTTTAGGAATATAGATGCTTCCATCCTCTTACATGCCGTCTGCCAATCGGTGGTCCATTGACGATGGAATGGTTGGTACCCCAATAGCCCTCCCAGCCATCTACCAATAACGATTCCTACAGCCTGTGCAAGTCTCTTTCCAAAAGGTAAAAATGCCGGAAAGGAAAGATAACTGTCGCCAGCGTCGAACATCTAGTCACCACTTTCAGTACGTAGGTAGGTATATGATGAATGATCATGATAATATCAAGGATGATAGCCTCTAAGGAGAGAAGAAAAGTACAAGAAATGCGTACATTTATCACTTGAATAGGATCAAATCTACCCCCTTCTAGCATAACCTTGTCCTGGTAGCCGTACCAATTCTGGAAGAAGATGGCGTCGAGCTTGAAAGGTTGGGATGTTTCCTCGCCGGAAAGGAGAAACCGCACCGTCTTCGCACCAGAGTCTACGACGGGGTATAAACGATGAGACTTCCAGCGCCTTACGAGGAGTTCTCCGTCCTCTGGGACCAACTTATGCTCCTTTCCCTCAATCTCAACGCCTAGTGTACCCTCCAGCACCTCGATGTATTCATCTTGATACGGGTGAAAGTGCAGGGGTGGTTTCTGTGTCGATGCCAGCTCTATAAGGTGTGGGTGGTCTAGCTGGAATGTGACGTCGAAGGAAAAGGCTCGATGTGCTCTGTTGACTTCATATACTCTAATAGCTCCATCAAACCTATGCGTAGCGGCGCGTAGGCCTATACGTCAGCCTGTATATAGAGCCTAAAACAAGGACGCTACTCACGAAGTAAACATCGGTTCTGATTCTGAATTTGACATGATAGGAGCTGTACTGAAGAAACTCCCACACGATCTTTTTAAGTGGGCTTGTTTCGTTTACTAAATTACACATAAGGACGAAGTAGCGCCAGCACCGTTAAAAAACGTGAAGTCCTCGTTATAGTTAAGAGGCAGTTATAACATATAGTCTCACGAGTGGAGTTTCACAACTTTATCGAGGCTCCATCAGCGACATGTTCTATTTCTGGTAACCCGAAGCTGGCGTACAGAGTGCAGAAGGCTATAGAAGGCGGGGATCCGTGGTGGTACGAGGTTCTTTGTGGGCTGCATAGGTATATTTCAATATTATCGGTAGGTACCTAGGTCTTGAGGTAACCCCTATGGTAGTACTGATGGAATGATGTTATGTATTGTAACCATTATAACTGCGTTAGCATAGTCGCGAGTCCCAATCATCATCGCTGAAGAAGATTCCACGATGCTCCGTAGATTATGCGTCATGTGAATTAGTATCCCATTGGGACGCCGGTATCCAAACTCCTAGGTATGCACCGAGATATATGATTAATATTATGTTAATAATTATATCGACATAAGGTAAAGTACTGCCTACACCATAACTATTAATATGGCTTCGCAGCCTCCTTTTCTCTGAGGTATCTTGTTAATATCTAATGTAAGTTATATCTACCTAAATATCTTTTCAATGAAGACCGACAGATCAAGCGAAGGCCTGGTACAGCAGTATGGTGGCCGCCACACGGGCAGCTGGGTCGGTTACCTTCCGGCATCTTGGATTCCTTACGTTCAGCTTGCACGTCTGAGCCCCCCTGCCGGGCTCTTTCTCATACTCTTCCCTCATATTTTCGGCGTTATACATGCGGCCATGATACTACGGGCCCCTTTCGCCGACGCTATGACTGCCGGGATACTGGTCGCGGGCGGCAGCTTCTTTCTCTCGAACGCTTGCCATGGCTGGAACGATTTTATAGATGCGCCCTTTGACAAACTAGTGGCTCGTACACGGAACCGCCCTATCGTGAGGGGCGCTGTTTCGCCCCGAGGAGCACTGCTCTTCGTATTCTCTCAATGCCTAGGAGCAGCTGTCATCCTATCGATACTACCTAATATCGCAGCATGGACGGCAATACCGGGAATCGCTCTACATATATACTACCCCTATTCCAAGCAACATACTCATTTGGCACAATTTGTGTTGGGATTTACCTTGGCCTGGGGTGTTTACGTTGGGACCGCAGCCATGGGCGTTGACCCCAGTAGTGATGTCTTCGCTCCTACGACTTGTCTGTTTGGCGCGTCTGTCCTCTGGACAGTCATCTACGACACAATCTACACTTTTCAAGATATCGCCGATGATGAGAAAATCGGACTTAAGAGCACCGCCATTCTATTACGCGACTGGACGAAACCGTTTCTCTTGGTTTCCCTTGGCTGTGTTGCCACTCTGCTTACCACATACGGCCAGTTGTGCGCCATGAATACCGGGTTTTATATTTTCGGAATAGGAGGTAGTCTCGCGTCACTAGGTACAATGATCATGAAGGTTGAGCTGAAGGATCCATTCAGTTGCTGGTGGTGGTTTCGATATGGATTCTGGTTGGCTGGTGGCTCTATTGTAGGCGGCTTGCTCTCAGCTTATATTATGCGTTAGGTACCTGGTAGATTCTTGTGTTATTGAGGGCATCCGTGGACAGGGAGAGATATTTCATATATCAGTATATGTATGTTACCCTATAGGTGCATAACAGATAACCAGGTACCTACCTACCTTAAGAGGGATCAATTCGCGATTGAGGCTGGGTGCAGGATCTATCTCCTGCATACTGCATACTGCATAATGCATGTAATTACTAAGGTTATGTAGCTCTGTGTAACGTATTACATTACATTAGGCACCTCCTATTGAAGGTACGTACTGATAAGTTGTAATAGGAGGTACACTACATGTACCTAATCTAAGTACCTAAGAGGTACCTAGAGGTATCTAAGAAAAAAAGGAGAACCTCTGCAATACAATATCTCGAATCTGTTGGTCCTCTTATATGCCTACCTCCTCGAGTTGACCAAAGAAAAAGTCTGGTTTCCTGGTTTCTGCCATGGAAAGTACCGTTGGAAAGAGGTAGATCCCCTTTAGCATTCAATCGAATAATACCCCCTACCTCGCAAGCATTTTTATTATTATTGTCATTATGCAAATTCCTATCACCGTGTATGTGGCTGTCGCCATTTTCCAACATGCAGCCTTGGCCATTTGTACGAAGCTTCTAACTAGTGGTACGATTATTGCATTCGATGACAAGACCCAACAACTCCAAGTGATCCGCGAGGGGTCACTCCTCATCGAAGGAGACCAGATTATATCAATTTCTGATGTAGCAATACCTGGTAATATCTCAGAGAATGTCGAAGTGATAGACTGTACCGATAAGATTATCACTCCCGGCTTTATCGACACGCACCGTCATGGGTGGCAGAGTGTTTTCAAGACACTGGGATCTAATACGACATTGGCTGAGTATGCTGGACGATATAGTGCATTTGTATCTCAGCCTCTGCTTTCTCCCGACGACATATATATTAGCCAACTAGCAGGTATCCATGAAGCACTCAACGCTGGAGTGACAACAATACTCGACCACGCCCACCACACCTGGACCCGTGAGCATGCCACTGCAGGCTTGAATGCCTCCGTCGATAGTAGTGCCAGGGTCTTCTTCGCCTATGCATTCCAAAATATCCCGGGTTTCACTATCCAAGACCAGATTACTCACTGGCGTGAATTAGCTCCGACAGTCTCGGGCGACCTTGCCACATTAGCAATAGCATACGACGGCTGGATGGGTGATCTGCAAGACCCAGACACTCAGGCAGTAATGAAACTTGCTTTGTATGTCATCACTCCGCGACTCCTGAGGCAACTTTGACTAACCAATATGATAGAGAAAGTAAAGTCAAAGTTCTTACGACCCATGATGTAGAGGGACCTTGGCCATGTGCGTATGGATGTAATTTTTTGAAGCATAAGTGTTGACTCACTTGCCAGTGTATAACACCCCTGAAGTCCTCCAACGGGTTGGGATACTTAATAAGAGCATACCCATCGTGATCTCTCATGGTTCGCAAGTTACTGCGAACAGTGCCCAGTTATTGAGACAGACGAATCAGTACATATCCATAACCGCGGAAAGCGAAATGCACTATGGCCATCTTCATCCGACAAGTCATCTCATCTTAGATCAAGCCTCCTTAGGTGTGGATACGCATTTCACTTTTTCGACAGACATCCTTACGCAATCACGCATTTGGTTACAAAGTACCCGCGCCCGCTTATATAGGGATGCAATCGACAACTGGAAGATACCTGCTAACAATCCTATGTCCGTCAATCAGGCTTTCCTTCTAGCTACTAGAAATGGCGGCTTAGCACTCGGTCGCCCTGACTTGGGAGTTATAATGCCAAATGCTAAAGCCGATATTCTAATATGGGACGGGCGTTCTCCAGGCATGCTAGGGTGGGCCGACCCGATCGCGGCTATCATTCTTCATGCAAACGTAGGAGATATCAAAGACGTTATGGTGGATGGAGAGTTCAGGAAGCGCGACGGGAAGCTCGTCATCAAGGATTATGCCAAAGTACAAGACCGGTTTCTACAGAGCGCTAAGCGCGTACAGGATGAAATGAAGGGAATCCCGTTACCTATACCTGAGGGCACCTTTATGGGCGGCTACCCGTACGGGCCAGTCTTGCAAGTCGACACCCAGCGCGGTGAGGGAACTGGGTATGGACCAAGCTATGTTTAATACCCGCCCGGGATAGTTATGCTAAGTACCTAGTTATAGCGTGCCTGAAGACGATGATTATGTCAACTCTATTGACGTAAACTTTCTATTACAAGAGATGAAGCCGTATACGGGAGAAAATCTTACAGGTTTACATGACGCCGCTTCATAACTACAAGGCTGCGTATGAAGTTACGAGTGGCCGTCCTGGTGGTGCAGGGCCGGAAGATGGGTTGTACCCGCCAAAATACCAAATACCCTGTTTAAGAACACAAAAGGTTCAGTCCTCTTTTTAGAAGATCGGAAGGAAGGGCGAGCAATAAATTCTAGCTCCGAAAGGGTTTATATGAATCAAGACTTTCAAGACCGTTTCAAGCTCAGGGGTTTAGGCTATTATAGTAGAACTCACCACCACCATCACCGCATCACGAGGGTATCAATGGTCTTTACCCAATCAGTGCGAACGACCCCGCACACCCTGGTTTGATCGTAAAATAATGGACAACTACTATTCATTGATATGGCATCATGCATCAGGGGTTTTTTATTCAGAATTCATAGTCATACGGGAGAGCTAGCATCCAAAAGAAAGGACCAAGTGGGTTGAGTTTTGACCATTTCACTACGGGATTAAGAGTCTAAGATTTAGTCGATATATAGGATACCAATACATATACGCGAGGAGGAAAAAAAAAAAAGACATGGCCGCCGCCGTTGCGATAACACACGTCCCTCCCGTGTTCCAGGAGCTTACAGAGGAACATACACAGACGACGCCAATACCAAGACGTCGCGATGTATTGACCAACATCAACTATTACAAAGACCCAGGCGATGGCTCGCTACCAATGCCCATCGTGATCGCCGAGTAAGTACCGTATCCTTACACATCATACCTATCCAATCCCATCCACTGAGCAGACTTTTGACCCAGCTCCCAAGCAACACGGTAAAAAACGAGCGCCCGCACATCCCCCAACAGACCATCGTCCACGACGTGACAGGCGAAGAGGGCAAGTACACCCTCGACAGCCACGGATTCCAATTCCTCCGACACGAGAGCAAGACCAATTCCCTGCAAGAATTCCAAGACGAAGAGCACGTCAAGGGCAAATACTACCCGGAGTCGATACGGCTGCTAAAAGAAGTGTAAGTCTTCTTCTAATAACCAACCCAACCGAGTATATATAGATCAGGTACCTGTTAGTTATATCTAAATTTTAGGAATGCTAATTCGTACCTACCTATTGATATAATAAAAGAACCGGCGCATCCCGCATCTTCCTCTTCGACCACAAGACGCGCTGCGGCCCATCTAACTGGCACAAGCTAGGCAAGGGGAATCGATCTTCGCGCGGGCCCTTATTGCGAGCACACGTGGACCAGTCGTACGCCGGCGCGGAATTAGTCCTGCGACGATGGTTTCCAGATGAGGCGGACGAGCTGGTTAAACGGCGGTACCAGATTATTAACGTATGCCCTGCCCTGCCCTGCCCTGCCCCCCTTTTTTTCTCCATCCATCCATCCATCCACCCTATCCTCTCCCTCTCCCTCTCCCCTTCTTTCCCCTCACATCCCCTCCCCTCACGCATAACCCAAAACCAAGAACCAAAAGCTTTAACCACCGCCCCAAAAAACAGATATGGCGCCCCATCCGCCCCGTCCTCAAAGACCCCCTAGGCGTAGCCGACGGGTCCTCGATCCCAGACGCCGACTTAGTCGCCGCGTCGATAATCTACCCCGCGGACCGGGACGAAACCTGGACGATCCTGCCGCGCGCCACGCACCGGTGGTATTACAAGCACGCGCAGCAGCCCGACGAGGTCCTCCTCATAAAGTGCTTTGACTCGGAGGCGAGCGTGCCGGCGCGACGCGCGCCGCATAGCGCGTTCGAGGATGCCGAGTACACGGACGGGGAGGCGCGGGAGAGTATTGAGGCTAGGGCGTTGGTTTTTTATGATTAGTCTATTCTTTGGTATTTGTAGCTATCACGTCGGGGTACTAGGTTAAGTCTTGTTCTACAAGAGACAGCATGTATATACCTAGGTAGGTACCTAGGTATGTATTAGAGTAACAATTTTCTCAAGAAACATCCTCGAAAGGAAAACGTCAATTTGGTATCATATTCCTAACGGTAGCCCTGTAAACTAAGCAAAAGCCTCATGTGACAACATATGTCTCGTCTCGTCTCGTCTCGTCTCATCTTACTCCATCATTTACTCCCCATTCCATGCCTTCGACGGGCTAGGCAAGGGGCTCGTTTGAACGCGCGGCCTGCTCCGGAACACAGCCTCGTAATCCTCCTGGCCGCCGTCAAGGAGTTCCTCGATAATTGACGTGTCGTTAAAATTCTCTTCCTCAAGTTTTGGGAACTGGTCACCCTTCCTCTGTATCATCTTGCTCTTCCTCTGCGATCGTCTCCTCTCCAGCTGGGCCTTCTGTCGCGCAGCTTCGAAGCCAACCATGGATCGTCTAGTACGGGCTACTAGATCCTCGTATTCATCTTTCTCCGGCAGGTGATTTGCATTATTATCACTGCTGCTCTGTGTGTGCGTAGATTTTGTGGGGGACGGCTGAGATACTTCATCCTCCTTTTCAAACGATTGGGTTCGCGTCATAGATAAGCGGGTTCTCTCAGCTAGGGAAAGGGTGTGACGTTGTTTCTTCATCGGAGATGGGGATGCATTTGACATGGACCGCAGTATTTCATCGGCCATAGCCTGCGTTGGAGAAACCGAGGTCGGCGGCGGAGACAATGATTCTATCATCTTATCGGTAGGGGATGGTTCGGGAGATACCTCAGGGGAAGCAACACTATACGATGTAATAATTTGAGGTATAGTATCCAACTTCGTTACTTCTTGCTTTTTGGGCGTACTGGTCGTCGGGACTTGAAGGTGCGAAGATGACGTCTGTTCCAATGGTTCAGGCTCAAAGTTGGGTGATAGATTTGGGAAGAATTTCTTATTCCGGCTGAATGGTACGTCAATTGAGGATGCCTTTGGCACATGTGTCCGCCCTTGAGCTTCGGTATTGGCCTTAGGAGGAACAAGACGATAACGACGCCCGCCGGTGGGTTGTATAGGCTTTTCAATTGGGCGTGCTTCTTCCGCCTCATCTTCCCATTCGCTAATATCAGAGATCGCATCGACTATTTCCTCCGGTTTTGTACTGTACGAAGCAACATCGATTACCGAGCTCCTATTCGAACCTCGTAGTAGACCAGAAAAATCCGGAATCTTGGGTTTTCCTATAGAGTCAAGTTCGGCTTTCATGGTACTAACTATCGTGCGGTATTGTGTAGGTGCTGCGTTTAAGGGGAGCTTGTCTTTCACGCGCACCTGGTCGGTGCTTAGCTTCTGATGGGCTGTGAAGCGTAAGCCAACATTCTTTGGCTTAGTCGTTCTCTTTGCTTCAACAGTAGGTGGTGGTGGCATATTTCCAAACATTTTCTTCCTAAAATCGTCCCATTTCTCCAACCTTTCTCTTTGCATCTGGACCCTGTTGTCCAATTGCTCCAAGAGGCCAGTATTCTGGTCTTCAAGGTCAGAGACTTTCCCTTGTTCAACACCAACCCAGACGTCATCGAAACGGCTGCCAAGGAGTCCTCCTTTTCGTGGGTTCGTGTCGTTAAATAGCAGACTATCAAGCCATTGGTCATTTCCAGTCCAATTTGTCCTAATGATTCTATTAACTTCCGTTCTTGTCCTTTCAGATGTCTCAGCTACGCTTCGTTCAGATTCTGTCTTGGCCTTTTCCTTTCGCCGGGCAATGATTTGTTCCTTTGACGCTAGCAATTCTTCGAAGTCGCGATACTTTGCTCGTTCCGTGTTCTTCTTAGCCAAGATGGAACTCAATGATGCTTTGTGGGCGAGTAAGAGTGCATTAAGCTCAGTACGATCTCCCGAGTAGCCCCAGTTCTCGAGCGCAAGTTTCTCTGATATAGTAGGATGGTATTCTGGACCGGAATTGAGTGCACGTTCGGCAACCAGCTTCTTTAGGACCGCCGAGGAAAAGACGGCTAGAACTTCTTCAAGCCGCTCACCCTTGCATTCGTCAAGCATCGTCTTTCGAAGGACGGCATCTCGACCTAGGACGCCATTCTTCTTAGCCTGTTCAAGGCCACGGAGGAGAGCGGCTCGAAGGTTGATAGATTGGACCTGATCAAGGGGTGGAAAGAACGGACGCAGTTTCTGGAAAATTAGAATACTTTGCACGAGTTGGGACATAGTAAACATACATTTTGAGTTTCATTGTAATCCCATAGTGTAAATAGCTGGTATAAAGCCCATTCGACAGATTGAATTCGCTTCTTCTGCCCGCCGACGGCGTCTTTGGTTGAAAAGGTCGCGATGGTTATATCTGGCCAATCGGGCTCAAGATCGAGATCTAACAAGCGGAGATTTGTAAGGAACAAAGCAAGGTTAGAAGTAGAGCCGGGTATCTGAGTCGTGGTGGCAGTAGGGACAGGCTGAGGGGCGGTCAAGGACGGTTTAGCTGGAACGCGCAACGATCGCGAACGTGCCACTGATGGGTTGGTTGATGGGTTGGCGTATTGAACCGACATGGCGGCATTGTTGACGGTAGTTTATAAAACAGAGCTTCTCTACGAGGCCATCCGTATAGGCGTGATTCACTAGTAGCGCCAGCTTCAACTGGGCGTAGGAAATTGTAGAATTCCTAGTTGTAGTTTCTGTTTGACCGTGGAGTGTCCGAGTGTGTAATGTTGTTGATTTCTGGACTTGATGCGCTCTAGTCTTAGGTACTATTGAATTTTATCGATAAGATTTAGAGCCGCCAAAGCTTGGCAATGGTAATGGGTCCCCCGGTAACACCCGAACCAATGGTTGGCATAAAACAGCAAACCCATTAATATTAAGGTAGTTAAGTACTTCGTACCGATAGGATCTATCAATTTTCGATTGCGACTGGTAGGTAGACCCAAAGCCAGTCCTAAGATATTTGTGTAGAAAAAAAGTGAATTAACAAGAGTTCATTAACAATTCGTATTGTAAACCAAGTACCAATATCCGACCCGTATGCCCTTAAGCCTAATTCTCAATCCAGCTTATTCCGTACAAGCAAGCCTTATTTTCGCCCTTTTCGAATAGCATATATTGATTTTCCATCGACGGCGTATCTTAGAAGGTAGGTAGGGAATGTTATGTTATACCATAAGTATGGTAACTTAGACTCCTCCTCCCCCTTTTTCCATTCCAACCCAATCCTCTTGATCATCGGTACGATATCCATCCATCCATCTTAAGTACCATATGTAATTGGGTGTAATACATCTCCATGTAAACAGTAAACTTCAATTCCCAATTTACTCCGTCTCCTCCTTCCCACAGCCCCGCGAGCACTGGTCCGCGCTCACGCACTTACACGCTCCGCATGTGCCCGCCAAGATAATCGTCAGGTCGCCGGAGACGGGGTCGCAGTGGGCGCCGCTGTTGCTTGCCGAGCATAGCGCCGTAGTACCGGGAGACCCGCAGTCGAGGCGCCACGAGGCCGGCGCCGCATCTTCTGGCCTCGGTGCCGCAAGGACAGCCGTGACTTGGAGTGCGATGAGCGCAATGGTTGCTGATATGGTCTTCGTGGGGAAAGCCATGTTAGCTTGTGTTATGACTAACTAGGAGTTTACTCGGGTATATTTATTTGGATGGTCCAGTTTTTCATAGGTGAGTACCTAGGATCAAGGTTGTCTTCTTCATACCGTAAGGGGATAACGTACCTTCATCTTGCTGCTTGAAAAGCGCGGCACTGATGCTGGCTTATAAGTCTGCCTAACTTTTGTTTGCTGTCTACCACGCAAGGACAAGTCTGGTCTGTAGCACAGAAACAGCAACGACAACAACCGTGAGGAAAGGACTACTGCAATTCTCTATCGTTCTCGTCTCGACCATCGGCCGCGCCTTTGACTTATCTAGTAGAGAATCTAGTAGAGATTTACGGGGCCCAGCATCCGCACCATGGCACCTTACCATTGAAAATATTCGCCACAGCATGGGCTATATTTATAATTTCTAGCTAGAACCATACCCACGAGCCTGGTCTCCAACTTCCCCATGCCTGGACCGATTGACTCCTTGGCGGTTTACCCCTAATCTCCTCGACTTTGGTGTGCGAAAAAAAGATCTCCCCGGATGCAACCCATCCGCAGGAACATGGGGTGTACCGAGTGGTTGGCTAAGTTGGGTTTTTTATTGAGGAAAGCCTTGACCTGTTAACTATTATCCGGCAGGCTACTAATAAGTGACATGTGATAGGGTCGTTTGCCGCAAGCCATAGTCATCTAGCCTGAATCCATGTTGACAATTCCAAGCTCGCGGGTGTAAGCTATGACTAGCACATATTGTAAACTTGCCTTGCTTATATGAAAGCACCATCAATACTACTGATCTGCTTATTTAGGTAAACAGCCAGATAGAATATAAGGCTGTAGCTCAACCCCTACAAAACCACGGCAATCCACTTAAAACCCGAATGGGATCAAGTTAAATACGGTCTAAAAGAGGAGTCCTAACCCTAAAAATATGCACATTGCCCATATCAATTATCCGGGACGTGGCAGACCGGTATCTAGAAAGGCGGACTCATTTATCCATATTGCTATGTACGACCGACAAGGGTAAGCCGGATTGATAACATGAACTATGAATTCCCCGACGTCCGCGAGACCTCATCCGGACAGCGTGAACACATATATCCTTCATACCTAGCTCTACCCTCCTACAGCCCGTCTTACCGCGACACCTTGGCGACCGTGACTCGGCCGTCACCCCAGTCGTCTATGCCAACAGGCGACATCCATATCTGGGTTGTCCCAACTGCCCATCTGTTAATCTAAATTAGGCAGACATGGAAAACATGCGGCTCCTCGAGCTATTAATATCATACAAGCAGTTTTGACACAGTGTTGAACAAATTTGTAAGAGCGTACAAACTACCTGGGTACTTAGCCTCCCCCAGCTTCCAGTGGTCCGTATTGAAAATTGCGCGACTAGAATAGCATCAAGTATGAAGCATATCGCCCCTAACATGCATCCTCCTTAAGCCATATTCAATGAAATGACGCGAGAGAAGTGTCGAATGCAAGTAGATGATCGATCGAACAGGTACTCTCTGCCCATCCAACCGTAGCTGACCAATTTTGTAACCGAAACGAAGCTAAGGAGACAACGATACCTGCCTCGAACACTAGCATAGTTCACTCGTGCTGAAGTAAGTAGGTCAAGATTGGCGAAAACCGAATAGGCCCCTTAATTCTGAAAGACTCAACCGGCCAACGCCTCGGGCGCCCTCTTCGCTGAGGGCTGCATTGACTAGCTTGCGTTTCTTCTCCTGCAGCGCGCAGATGCGATCTTCAACCGTCCCATCGATCAAGACACGGTGGACGGTAACCTCATTCTTTTGGCCGATACGATGGGCACGGTCAACGGCCTGCTCCTCAATAAATGGATTCCAGAAGGGTTCGAGTATGATGACCTGGGTTGCTGCCGTGAGATTCAGCCCTGCGTTACCAGCAGACAAGCTGACCAGCATGACTTGTACCTCGGGGTTAGTCATGAACATCTTCGCGGCGGCATCTCGGTCATTATGATGCATTGTTCCGTCGTAGCGCGTATAATTGAAGCCTTGGTCATGTATGGGAATCTCAAGCAAGTCAAGGAAAGATGTCCACAAACTGAAGATGAGCGTTTTTTCCTTGGGATTCTTTTCTTTAATCGCAGACAAAATCTCCATCGTCTTGGTAATTTTGGCACTTGGGACCCAATCCTTCCTGAGACGTTTCAGATATTTCGCCTTCGCGGCGGCATTGCTTGAGCTGGCTTTCTTCAGAGCCGCCATAGAGGTGAACTTATTCTTCCCCTTTCGGTGCCGCTGCTTGCTGGCCGCGCCGTTCGTCTTCCTCTTCTTTGAAGCAGTAACATTCTCGTGATTGGAACGTTTTCGCTTAACCCCGGTCTGAGATGCTTTCTTTGTATCCACATCAACGTCTGACGCCGAGTCGGACGGGCCTTTGCGCTTCTTGGACTGTTCAGGTTTGTCTTTGCCGATATTCTTCATTGCTTCAACCTGTTTCCAGATTTTCTCCAAGGACATTAGGGAATCATCATCGGAGTCATCTGCGGAGTTTTCCTTTAAGGACTCCTTGTTGGCAGAGACATCCTTCCATATCGCGTCGGTAGAGGTCTCGGCTTCTGTAGGCTTCGCCTTCTCAGAAATAGAATCATCTCCCATATCTGAACCATCTCCTTCCTTTTCCTCTTCCTCTTCTTCGTCCTCATCTTCTTCTTCCTCATCATCATCTTCTTCGTCTTCCTCATCTTCTTCTTCGTCCTCGTCCCCCGACACGACGAAGCCCTTCAAGTTTCCACGTGCATCTACATCGTCATCTGAGTCCTCTAAACTTTCGAACCCATCCGAATCATCACTGTCGTCCAATCCGAGCTTCTCAGGCATATATACCTCTACGAAACAAAAGTGGCAGATGATCCGTTCAGGATGAATTTCCGAGTTGCAATCTTCATGCGGGCAAATATTCTGCTGTTCGGAATTCGGATCTCGAATCTCCATCATGGCAGAGAAACAAGTACTGCAGATCAAATGACCGCAGGAGTATATTATGAGGGGGTTCTCGGTTGCTTCGTCGCAGAGTGGGCATTCAAATTCAGTCTGTGCTTTGAGCCTCCTCACGACGCTGGGTTTGAGCCTCTGAGCGAGTCGGCGCATCTCGTCTGATGAAAGTTGTATGCCTTCCGGAATACCGAAATCTTTGATCAGATGCGGGTGACAGCAGGCTTGACGTAGGCGCAGTAGTAATACGAGAATGTAACTATATTGCCTCATTGTTGTCCCAGCCTTGATGAACTCGTTTACTTTGAGTCGCTGTTTACGTTCGAGGGCGTCGTAAAAGTCCTGCTGGTCCTTGTTGAACTTAGTCGTGGCCTCTTCTTTCACGAGTGGCGGTAGCTGGAGGATGGGTTTGCCGTCAAGCATGCTCGTCTTAGTCCGCCGCATGGTTATACTCCTGAATAGAGCCTGTAACTTCCTCAAGGCACTGTCGTGGAAGTCTTCATTCCAACTCTTCAGCGGCCTATTAATTTCCCAGTTGAATGCATCCCATTCACTATAAGGCTTAATACGAAGAAAACGGACGAGTGAAAATATTTCCTCGGGTCTGTTCATGAACGGCGTCCCCGTCATACAAAGCCTGTAAGTTGACTTAATCCTGCACGCAGCTACCGAAGCTTTAGCCTTTCTGTTTTTGATGGTGTGGGCTTCGTCGAGAATGACTCGATGGAAGATGGCATTATTGGCTAGGATTAGCGGTTTCTTCTTCGCATTTGGCAGGTTTTTATACTCGGAAGTGATGGTTCCATAAGTTGTTAGGACGACGTCGTAGGTGAGGAGCCTAGGGACAGTCATTTTGGCCTTCATTTGGCCATGCAATATGACTGTGTTCAGCTTATGGGCTGGTTTGACCTTGGTCCGAATTTCCCTCTCCCATTGTTTGAGGAGGGAGAGCGGAGCGATAATAAGCGTTGTCTTGTGAGCGCGGTCTTTTGAAGGGCGTGCAAGAATCAAGGCCAGTGCTTGAACAGTCTTACCAAGACCCATGGTATCTTGTTAAAGAGATGGTCAGCTATTTTCAGTCAACCGTAGTGGGTGCTATTAGAAATTACCTGCTAAAATACCCCCCTTCTTGTGGACATCTTCTTCCTGCTGTATCAACCAAGTTAGGCAAACCTTCTGATGTTCCATCAGAGTACAAGACATTGAAGCCGGCGTGCTCATTCGCTGTTCCGGGGAAATGTCAATTTCTGGCATTGTTAAGAAATTCTGTAATTCTTTCTCCTGCTCCCCCGACTTCGCTAAATGCGGATAGGTATTTCTGCCATGATTAGCGTTATCGTCGCTATCGTCATCATAATCATCATCGTCATCGGGAAATAGCCGTTGCATTATATCAGTAAGGTATAGAGGCCCACCGAGGGTGAAAGGCCCAGTCGGTATTAGTTCGGATGGATGGTAGTCTTGATACTGCTGAGATTGTCGTGGTTGAGCTTGGTCGAGGGCGCTCGCCGATGACTCGGATCCTTGATGCATTTCGCGTGCTGTTCTGAACGCGTTGGCAGCGACAGGCGGAGAGTCACCGAAAGACCTTGTTTGATTCATCTTCTTTTGATTTTCTCTGCCTTGACTTTGCGTCTGTCGAAGTTGTTCTTGTGGCTGACGCCTCAATCGTTCTTGGCGAAAAGCTTCTTTGGTTTTCTCTACGTCTCGATTCGCTCGTTGCTCTGGCTGCGCTATATGAGATATGCGAGCCTCGCCGGCCTGCCCAGCCTGATCTACAGCTGTCTGTTTGTTAAGTGTCGGCTGGTGATTTTCTTGATCGAATGAGTCAGGCCCAACGTTGTTTCCAGCTCGGTTTACGGAAGTCGACAGTGGGTGTTCAGGCCTTGCGCTTTGTTGATTCGACGTATTGTCGGCTTTTAAGGACAACGGCGGCATAATAGGTAGCTTTTAAGCCTTTTTCAACCTAAATCAATACTTAAGCTTGCCTGACTAACAAAGTAACTGTAGATAACTGATATGCAGTCAGAGCATGCAGTCAAAGTATGCGGTCAGGGTGGCACAGGCAAACGAGTAAGGCAGAAAATTAGGCTGCAGCCCGAGAATTCGAGAGTTGACACTGATTGGTTTCAAAATTTATTTCTGCAGATAACATATATTTTTTTTCTATTCTTTTTTTAAGTGGCATTTGTAATAAAAGTACCAGTTACTACCAAAAAATTAGAAGAACTTGGGTAAAGGTAGGTAGGTTTACTTTGAAGTTTACTTTAACGATGTTTGATCATGTCAGAAACGAACCTTAGCGTGATTGCACCCATTAAGTCGGCCCCAATCGCCCCATCCTTCCCTTTCATACTTTCCCTAATTTACTTTAGTCTTGACGCGCATACTCGCGACGCCACGTGCCTTATCCGTGCGCAGTCCACAAAAGCTTCGGGCAGTCCGACGATCATTCAGGCACTAGCCCTTATGTACCTATGTACAATACTTAGGTAATTATTAAGTCACCTGATTCCACTCGATATTAGATACATAGTTACATAATATGATCTCTTCTCAAATACATGCAGTCTTCTTCAACAAGTCTAACTATACGAAGTCAATAAGCTCAAAAAAGCCTACTGACTCCTTATCTTTTGTTAAATTTCATAGTTACTATATATCGTGTTTTTATTTTATTTTTCATTTTACATAGCGATTTTGATTTATACTCACAGTGCCAGACAAGCATAAGGTCACTCAAAGGGATCGTCGGTGTTTCCCCTCATTATGTTGTTTCGAATATACTGGTCGTACTTTGTAGGTTTTTCTCGTGGAGAAGAGGCCACCCCCTATCTTCCCCTAAATGACAAAAACAGTCCGAAGTTTAGCCATCATTAGATACCATATTCTTAATCCAAGCTCACATCGGAGGGCGCTTCTATACATGAAGAAGTGCCTCCTCACGCCATCGGCCTCACCGCCGGTGGGAGATACAATCCTGTTTTCCTACTGGATACAAAGCTCGGTATTGTATATTGGTACGAATGCCCTGGTGAGATCAGGTACGAGCCGTCGCGGGAGCCGATCGAGGACGACCCGTATGATTATGCGCCTGAGAAAGAAGCGGAATGGCGTGCCGAAGGTCACTATTGGGCCGTCCCTGATTTTTTCAGGGCGCTCGAGGACCAATTCCGAGAGCTAAAATTCATCCCCACAAACTCACGGACGGTGCTGGACGTCTACACTAACGACCCACGCTCAGAAAGTATGATTCCCATGTTGCGGGTGATATATCATGAGCACGGCTGGCCCGACTTGGAAAAATATCACAAGCAAAAATGCCCGCAAGTTGTGCAAACGTCCCTGGAGGAGCCAAAACTTCTATAATCTATATGAAATTACAGGGAGACTTCATATATACCACTACCGAGTTATTTTTACATGACTACCACTTAGCACGATGTAAAAAAAAATTTCTGTAGCATACGAGAAATAGGACTATTCGTGACATAATTAATATATTCGAAGTGATTGAATATTTTTTATACAAGCAGGCATTTCTTATATCGTCGACAATCTGTCCTGGAATGGCAGCATTTCTTGATAGCTACGAGCACGTGATATTGACACTTGCTCATCTGACTCTTTTATTCTCTCCGGCGATTATTATTTTGTTAATAACCATCTCCCTCTCTCAAGTTGCCTAAGTTATTCGGGAATTCACATGAAATCGATGCATCGCATCAACCAAACTCACATTCCATGACATCCACGACCACGTTTCAATACCAACCCTTGCCGGCGAGATCAATCCGAATAATTAAGCTATTACCAGCGCATCGTCCTGAAGATCCCTTAAGATGTAACATTGAGGCTATCTGTCTTGACCACTCAAAGGCGAGACCGTATGAAGCCCTCTCATACGTGTGGGGCGAACCGGCTCGGCAGTGGCCCCTGGACTGCGGGGGTGCAAAGCTCCTAGTTACCAAGAACTGCCATGAAGCGATGGTAAATCTGCGCTATAGGTTTACATCGAGGGTTTTGTGGATTGATGCAATTTGCATCAATCAAGGCAGCGACGATGAGGCGATCGAGGAGCGAAATGGCCAAGTGAAGATGATAGGGGAAGTGTACCTCAGAGCAAAACTGGTCTTGATCTGGTTCGGACCGGGAGACGCGTCAACCGCTGTCCTCTTTCGCTACCTCCCACTCTTTAACCTCTTGGACAGGATCCAGGATGAGTACCCAGTACTTGAAAATGCTTTGTATACGCTAATTGCTCAACATTTTGATATAAGTTACGGTAAGCTATGATTAAGATCTCATGCCTAAGCTTGTCTGGTAAAAACGCTTACACGACTCGGACTAGGGGTTCTAGTCAAACACAAGCGTTCACAGTTGCTAAATTCCATGGCCGCTATCCTCGAGAATCCATGGTTTGAAAGGGTCTGGACGATACAAGAGGTTGCGTTTGGACGAAAATGCGTTATTATATGCGGCAAGTCTAGTATAGATTGGGAGTCATTCTGCGGAGCCTACATGGCTGAACCCAAACTGCGAGGATCGAGCCGCTCATCTAAGGACCTCATAATCCCTCGCTGGAGATTGTACCTATCACTGCGTGGTTCGAGTCTCGAAGCCATCCCGCAGACCCGCTTTGAAGGAGACGGTCAAGTAAGATTCGAACTTGAACTCCTCTCTGAGATCCGGAATATGAAAGCAACCATTGCGCATGATAGAGTGTATTCCTTATATTCGGTATTCCAGGCCATGGGAATCAACTTGCCGAGCCCTGATTACGGGAAGGACGTAGTAAAAGTTTTTGAAGAAGCAACGCTAGCGTATATCAGAAGCCGTCAAAATCTAAACATTATCGCGATTACCCTGCCTCCAGGCCCAAGCTCCGGATTTCCTTCTTGGGTCCCCGATTGGTTAACACCGGGCCGCAACGGCTCGGCGTTGATTTGGAAAATAACGGACTTCGACGCATCGTATCATTCTACTACTCCTATACTCACAGATAACACCCGGGATGGTAAATTTGGCGTAATGGGGAAGATTATTGGGAAAATAAATAAGAGTATTCGTTGCCCTATCGTTCTGGACCAAACACTCAGTCGAAGCCAGGCATATCAGGAGGTTATTTCGGCTTGCTTCGACTGGCGCCATTTAATCAGTAGTCTTACTAGATATTCACCGGGAAAAGACCCGAAGCTCGTCGGGCAGGCGCTACTTCGCCCTTACCACGCCAGCGTACCCAACAGCGAACTAGGCGCTTTATACCGCTGGGCTTTGCATGGTGATAACACAGCGCCTCCAGAGGATGGTAAGTGTTTATGCCAATGCTATATGAAGTCTCCCTTCATTAACCCTGGGGATAACCAGAAACCACTCTCGAGGCTATCATGGAGAAGCGCAGGCTTCGAGAAAACTGGGCAATCTTCACCCTTGACACAGGCTACTGCGGTACAGCACACCATAATTGTCAAGCCGGGGATAATATAGTTCTTCTACAATCGCTCAATCCACTCGTCCTTCGACCCCAGCCGAAGCCTCACGAGTTCAGGATTATAGCCCCCGCTTATTGTGAGGGAGCGATGAATGGCGATATGAATCCGCACAATGGTGAGCTAGAAGAGATGATACTTGTCTAACACTGTTGTCATCCTATCTTTCATTTGCAAAATAGCATACCTAAGTTATGCGAAGACGTAGGTTGCTGGAACTCGCATTCGCAATATAATCGTAACTACCTAACCTAAACATACACCCTTCAGTGAATTTACATAGTAGCAAATCGTTGTTACTGAGGTAGTCTCATATATAACTTCGGTGAGGTTATTTTCACTACCTATGAGGTAGCAATCTATCAACTTAAGAAGCGAGGAAAGTTTAAGGTTGTTCTAATTACTGATGAGATATAAATAGTGATTTTCTTATTGGTATGTTAAGAGCATGTGATGATCGTATTATTCTCAACACTTTACTAGTATATCTCCCCGGCCGTATCACCTACATATTAATAATTAACCACCGATCGGTTATTTTATAGCTTCAAGTCTTAGATGCAGCAACTATCGCATACACACGTAAAGAGCCTCCATCCTCTAAGGTGTCAAATAGGTGACCTCGAAATAGTATATATTAAAACACAACTGTTTACATACTGCATCCAACCGCCTGGTGCTAAAATCGACGAAACGGTTGTGTAACTTGGTTAAGAAAACATCGGGATAGGCATAACCCTCTAGCCTCTTAACTTGAGGAGGATCACTGGTAGTTTCTGATGAAGTCATGAACCAAACTACCACGAAGTAATCTAATCTAACCTTTTGTTATGAAGCCCGAATCCTCCATCACTTGTGTAGCTGTAAGTGAACCAAATTATTTATATTTTAACCAGGGGCCGGACTTCCCACAGACGCCGGGTTCTTTCTTGTGAAACTCGCCCGATTATACCGCCAAGACTCACCACCGCGGCGATACTAGGTAGTCGTCTAATCAGATCGGACAAGGTGTTAGATTACGATCCTTTTTTTTCGTCATCTATACACTACCGCGCACGTGTGGTCTACCCAAGACCGGCACAGCACGCAAAGATGGAGCCAAGGACAATGGTGGCGGGTTTGATTCGACATAAGATTCATCTTGCGACTGATTTGTGATCATTAGTGGGAGACGCACTGATGTGTGGGGGAATCGAATGCGGAAGGGAGAGTCCTTTGACTAAAATACTCGTAGCCGCCCGCTATGTAATGAGTTCCCGTGTATGATTGGATACAATAGCCGAAGATGTTACCAACGATTAAAACGAGTTTCAAGTCTTTATAGCCTATCGTGAGACTAAGAACATTCCTTCTTAAAACACCAATGCTGTGATTTCACATTTTGTCTTTTCCATGTTTTATTGGTTTAGAAGTACCCACCTGCGCAAGGAAAAATACCAACTCAAATCCTTCGCTTCCAATACGCAGTCACTAAATTACTACGACACACAATAAGCTTGGTGTCTTCGGTGAAGGTAGTTAAATAAGGAACAATATGTTTTACCCGAGACACGTTATTATGAGGCATTCTCGAATGAGCTTACGCCTATTGGGTATGAAATAAGATGAGAGGATCGCATAGATTCGTACCTAGCCGAAACTGTAAAGTAATGGTAAAAGGACAACTCATTCATCTCAGCTGCTAAAAAGAATAGAAAATATACTTAGGATGTATCAAATAAAGAACTGCACACCTTGCGATAATCGATAATCTATTGTGTTCTATTGTGTAAGTACGAGATCAATAACGAGTCGGCAGATGAGGTTTATGTTAATTGTCTCGGGTTTTCTAATGGGTTTGTGCCACGCACCATTTCGGAGGTGTGGGAGAGTCATCGTACGAATCAGATCCGGGACTTTATTTTAGATAGCACAACCTCAATCCTGCTATATTGATTCAATCTCATCTGAACTTGTCAGTTGGCTGTAGCTTACATCTAGCTCTCAAAGCATTTAGCATTTGTGGATAACATGACGACTTGAGGCTCCGCCTTTGGGATCAAGTGCTGCGGTGGACTTATGAGAAGAGCATGCGGGCCGTCTTCTCCGCTAAGCCTAGCGGGTAGATGAAAGCAGTATTATATTGTACATAGCAGTAAATTATATAGCACCTAGGCTTCCGTTTAAATATACGACTGATGGGAATTCAGCCATGGTGGCAGATTTTATATTTATATTGGATGTTTGTTTCCTTTCTCGTTTTACAAAAGTGACAATGTAAAAGAATAGTTAATATAAGAAAGTAAAGTTGAGAAAGTAAAGTTGTATTTTGTGGGGGTCAGCAGGCTTGGAATTTGTCCCGGGACGACGGTCACCAGATCTGGGTTGCATGCAACAAAGTGTGCTTGCCTGCTACGTGGTTGAGGTTATGACGAAAGCAGAGGGGTTATTGTTACGAGGACATTTATGGGGAGTAGCGCGCTAAAAACTCATGGATGCTTGCCCCGCATATGTATGCTTCGTTACTGCTCTGCTGCTGTAGCGTCACTGGGGCTTCATCACTTGGTCAGGGTTTTAGGGCTGGAGATCCTATTGGGACGACTAGGAATGTGTAATACCTTAAACGTTAAGCCCCTTAACGGGATGATTAGACCCTTACACCGATATGTAGCTACCAAGGTACCTAACATACAACTGGAACCTCTGCACACACATGGACATTTTGGCACATCGCACATTGTACGTACCTACATCACACATCGCACATCTAACGGACCTTTACGCAAGAGTACGGATTATAATACCGTGCATCGTACATCCATCGTACATATTTATTATTATAAATTTATTGCACACACGTACATACCTCATACATTAAATACATGAAATTACATAACATACACATCCATTAGGTCCCTGGTTCTCCTTCACAATATCCCAACGCTCTTTTTGCCCTCACCGCCACGAACACAAGAAAACAGACCGCCAACGGTAAATTATGGTACGGAATATACCTAAGGTATCCATCCCTTCACATTTTCTTTCACTGTCACATCTCTCTCTACTTACATCTCCCCTTTATTTCCTTGTTCTTTTTTACCTTACTCTTAAACCTTAGTTATCCTCATTAAGGTACACACACAACTTAGGAACCGGTATTTGCTCTAGTCGATTACTGCATTCCTACGTTTTAGCTCTTACACTGCTCTCATACTGTTCTCATGCTGGCTTGAGCTTGTGATTGCCGCCGAGTTACCGGATATAGAAGCAATTATTGACATATTTTACCTCTTTCAAAACGTATAATATGTGCAATATAATGCTCTAAGCTTAGGTTGGCTTCTTAAGCACGCTATGCATGACTTGCATCTTAGGGGATATGCTTTCCCATAGCTTGGCGCTTCTTCGTGGAGTGGATGTGAATTTTATTCACTTTTAATCTTGTCTTCTCCCCAGCAGCCCAGATACTAAATACCTCTTGACCTCTCCTTAGAGGGCCCCTCGACTCGAAACATTCTGACCTATTTGACCTATTCTTAGGTATAGAAAGAGCAAATTTGTTGTCTTTCTCATACATTTCGAATTAAAAGTTGTTTCTCATATCAACTTTCTAGCTGCTCTCTCACACCTCGGCGGCCTCCGACCCCATCTGCTCATTTTTTTCAACCTCATAACGATTGCCAGCAAATATGACACTCGAGATCCGATCGAACTAAACAACTCATTGGGAAGCATGACAGACTATCTCCTACTTCAATTGCACCCCGAGCCTCCGTTTTGGCCACCTCAGCAAAGATGGCTCCCGTAGCATGGCCACCGGGCACAGCATCCCTTGATGAATCCCTCGCATCCTATACTATGATCACGAAACGTCACCCCACTCGAGATTCAGATTTCAACGACCCGGAAATTAATGCCCTTATGTCGATCTCGCTTATTACAGCTTCTATCAGTGTATTTGCGGCTTTATACGCCTTTTACTGGTTTGTTAGGATGAGGAGGAGCTTCCGTCACGAGTAAGTCGACTGAATTTGGTAAATTTGTCCATGGGTTAATTTTAGATAAACTTACAATTTTGCAGCTTAATCATGCTTTTAATTCAGAGCGATATGACCAAGGCACTCTGGCTCGTGGTCTGCCCGGTTGCTTTCTTTGTTAGGAAACCGATCGACTCGAGGTCGACCTCATGTCAAGTCCTAGGATTTCTCCTTACTATGAGCATCGAAGCTTCGGATATTGCCGTCCTCTTGATTGCGGTTCACACGGCCTTGTTTATTCTCAGGCCCAGGAATTCCAATGGCGCAGCCGGCCTGTATCCGTACAGACGCATAGCGTACATCTGTTGGGCCATCATTCCCATCATCCTGGCAGCGGTGGTACCAATCACTGGTGGCCGTTTCGAAGATAACGGTCCCCAGTGCTATCTACCTGCTCATCCTGATTGGTATCTCAGCGCACTCAGCTGGATTCCACGATACATCATTGTTGGCGTCATAGTAGTTACTTACACCTTTCTCTACATATACGTTGCTTTTCGATTTCGACGCTTCAGCAAAGACCAGAGACGTGCCAGCACAGTACATGGCGGCGATCCTAACCGGAATTACAAGCGCGATCACCGCTGTGACAACGGTGGGGATGTCCCACCCACACCGCCTTTCACTGACCACGGATTGCTAGATTCGGCACGAGACAGCCTAGCGAAAGAAGATGATCCCATCGATCATCAACAGTCAGTTGCCTCAACACTTAGCAGTCTCAATTGTGGCGGGGCCCCTCCCACTTCTCTGCGGCGGCCCGAACATTCTCTACCAAGTTCAGTTAGATGGAATCCCGTAGATTTTGTTATCGACGGATATCTCGATCCACGAGCGAGGCGCGGCAGCCATACGGCCTTCTTTGGTAGTCCTGCTGCTTGCTCGCCGCGCGCAGAAGCAACAATTCCCATCCGTCCTCCCGATTTCGTCCATTATAGCCCGCCAAAGTCCTCTCAATCCACTCATGGCCATTGCCGATGGAAGCATTCTATGTCGTTCGGCTCGAATAGCATAGCACGTTCCGTCTCTAATACGACCAGCACCCCGCGACGTGGATCACCGCGAGCGAATGGCTCTAGCCGAAGTACGTCGTCAAGCTCCGTCTGCTTGCCCCAAGAAGAAATTGAAGAAGCGATGCGGCGGTTACGCGAGAAGCAACAGCGGCAACTCCGCCTCCTATTCGTCTACCCACTAATTTATATAATAACGTGGGTCGCACCATTTGTGTCGCATATTCTGCGGTATGACGGCAGTTACACCTCGTCCGGAGAGAAGGCGGAACCCGTGGCACTGCAGGTTATTAGTATCGCGAGCTTGTGCATCGGCGCTGCTGTCGACTGCTGTTTCTTCAGCGCTTGGGAAAAGCCGTGGCTGCACCTGCGTGGTGGATTTTGGGGGGGCTTAGCATCACGGTTGCGGATACGTAAACCTTCACAACGGCGGCAAAGGGGCATGGGTCGTACACGCGAGGAACGGTTCGTAGACGCGACGATGGCACGTGTACGCCGCGAGCAAGAGGAAAATCTTGAAAGCCTGAATAACGGAGCTGCGGCGGCCGCTGGAAGGCCTTCCGTACACTGGACGCGACAGAACTCGGCGCCCCGCGAGTGGTGGGACGTATTAGACGTAGAATACGACGATTCCCCCGCGACGAGCCGCCCCCAATCACATGGGATACAAGCAGGATCTTAATATAATAATTACGAGCAGCATGACGAATATGAGGGCTGGGCGCCCAATATGCATTGGGTAACGATGGGGGAATGACATGGGCGTAATATCGAATGCAGGTCAGACTAGAGCATTTACACCGGGAAGGGCAACGACGGTCATGATAAGATTCATTTGCATATATGCATGGCACGGTGCTAGGATTTCATTTTGGGGGGCACAACGGTACTAGGTATGGTAAACATACCTAGGTTGGAGAAGAGAAGAGTGTGGGGGGTTTGGATTAAAACCCCTTCTAATTGCTCTTTGACACATTTACATACTGCGTATATTGAATCAGCGTTACGGGAGGCGGGGAGCATTGCTAAAAAAGAGGGAGGGCATTGGGCGGCGTTCACACACATATGTAATAAGCATGGAGTTACATCAGGCGATGCAACAAGAGGAAGGCTACCTATCCGAGTAGTCTAAACCTGGATATTGAGGGTCCATATGAGGGTCCATACCATGGTATTATAATTGTTGAAAGAAAAGGATGATTAGGTTATTGGATGCAGAGATGCAGAATAATTCAACACGTGATGTTGTCTCACTCATTTATTACTTCTTCGTTGGCACTTGTGCGATGATGATTCTCTTTTCCCTTCTTATTTTGATTGATCTTCATACTCGATCCGAGACAATGTCTGTTATATATGGGAACTCTGCAGACCCGCAGACTCAGATAGGAGAAACGGATAATCAACGCCTTTTTTTTTATTTTGCTCAACCGTCAAGTGACATTGAGTTGGTAATAGATATGATATATGATATGATCATTCTGCATTAAGGTACGTATCGCACCATAAGACTTCATGGTGTCTGAGGAATCGCCATGCCCCGGCAGCTAACCGATTGGTCTTCATAACCGGTCAATAAAGCAAAATCCTATTTTGTGTAACCAACACCTGCGGCCTGCGGATCATTTCTGCCCCGTCTTATTATGGTGGTGTTCGAGGATGCCTATATAAATTTCCATTTCCTCTCGTATACTTTACCTTGCCCTTCTCTACTATTGCTTACTGTCGGAGGAAACGCAGGAAAGCCCTAGCAACGGCGACGCCATCGTGTTTATTACTAACACGACGCATGCCGTCCTCAAAGATATCCGGGCCCAGAATGCCACCATATCGGCGCATCTCGAGGATCTCGCGCACCATATCGTCGGTGAACTCGGGATGGCCCTGCACCGTGATAAATCGCTTCGGGATATACATAGCCTGCACATCGCACACGTCGGTGCGGGCCAGTTGGATGGCGCCTGGGGGTAACGAGAACACCTGATCACGGTGCATTTGGTGGATAGCCTGTGATGCGCGCAGATAAGCAACCGGCTACCTAAGGCAGGATACAGGAAACAAGGAGGTGTATGGAAATGAAGAACGAAAAGGGCAGGGTATACGAACCAGCTTCTGTACGCCAAACAGCTTTTTTCCCTCCTCTGTGAGCTCGTGGTCGGTGACGCTTATCTCCCACCCGCGAACATTCTTGCCGACTTCGACCCCAAGGGCACGGCCGACTATCTGGTGGCCGAAGCAGACGCCGATAACACGGACGCGGCCGCCTTCGAGACACCGCCTCGTATACTGAGTGAGGCGGACGATCCAATCGTCATTGTCATATGCGGAGTACTTAGAGCCGCTGATGAGGATGGCGTCGATCGTCTCGGGGTCCGGGTACGAGTCGGGGTGATTTACGATGTCGTGAGACGAGAGCTGGAGTATGGCAGAGAGGGGTTGGGGTGGCTCTAATGATGCACACGCCCTCTCAAAAAGATATTTGAAGACCCCGCCGTACGACCCGTATTTAGCTTTAATTCCAGGAACTGGGCTGTCGGCTTCGAGGATCGCGAGGCGGATCGGAGGGATGTACACGGAACCCATGATGCTTTTTTTCTATTAACCCGAAATTCTCGGGCAACAGGCTGGCGATTAAGTAAAGGGTAGGTCAATGGAAAAGTATGATGGAAGTACGTTGGAAGTACGTTGGATGTTATGAAGATGCAGTTGGCCCGAGGAAATAATGAAGAGGATGGAATGCTCAAAGGCTAGGGAATCTACCGGGCAGACCAAGCGAGAAGAATGTCTCAAGACTTCGCACTAGCCTTTATATATACGATCAAGACGCCGGTAGTGGAGGCCAGCTCGTGCGTTGACGGGATTCAGGTGGTGAACACCTCCCCCTTATTCAGAAGTGATTCAGAGAAGTAAGTGACAAGTGTTGGACGTGACTGTACTTCAGCAGATGCAGGAGATCCAAATCCCTCTTCACCTGCCCCTCATGGCGACATACCTTGGCCCCCAGCAGCTACCCAGACCCCCATTAATGAAGAGCTTGTCCTTAGTTGCACTTGCATATACGTGTCTGTGTACGCCAAGAAAAAGTGAATGGATAGGTTCGGAGATAGAAATGTAAACGGGTGGCGGGGGGGAGTATAATGGGCTGAATGGGTTATAATGGGGGGGAAGAAGAAAACTTGAGTGAATGATAGGAACATTAAACAATTCGATTCACTATCAACGGAAACTTCGATAGGCAGAATCACAGGCGGTGAGCCTTTTTCGTCATTAGTCGAGGAGCTAACCAGGTTAACATTACCCAGGTAGTCCTAGTGTATTACAGTATATGTCTGTACTTAGGTATGTACTACCTACATGTATGTACCTACCTATAGGACCAAAAACCTGGTTGGGTGGCACAACTGCACAAGTGGGGATCATTACTCCAAAGTACACCACATACGTCGTACCTGCCCTTGCCGTCACCCGTATGTAGTAGTGTATGTATATCGTACTTTAATCTTTTAAACCCCCAATTCCCTGTCAGTACCTAGGTACATTAGCAGATTATGGTACGTATATGTAGTACTAGACCTACTGGACTTCCAGGTACGTAATGCGCCTCAATGAAACAGCACAAAGCGCCATTGCGGCTCGGCTTTCAGGTTGTGGCTAAGGAGCCTCTGATTCGTTAACAGGGGGGATTAGGTCTCACGTCCCAGAAACATATTAACATATTACCAACGTAGTGTATTTATTTGCCTTCTGCAATAAGAACAACCAGAGCTATTCACAATAAGGCTTAGGGTGATTATATTTTTCTTTAAGCTTATTTGAGTACGGCTAGCCTCACCTCAAAATTGCGGAAATAAGACAGCTACATTTCCCTTTTTTTCTTCCCTTTCTTTATTCTTCTCTCCTCCTCTCTCTCATCTCACACCCACCTTTAACACCGGCAAGCTGGATACTTATTCGGTCCGCTGCTGAAAACATTGGATCGGGATCCGGGTATTTCAGCTATTACAAAATTTGCAAGTTCATATCGTATGTAACCGTGTGTGTCATAAACCAATCAATGAACATCTAGGGACCGATGGTAGGCTTCCCATTCGCCAGAGAAATGGTGCTGCTTCAGCTGCTAGGCAGTTCGGCTGGTCGGGAGGAGCAAGGTGCTGTATAAGATAATGTAGTCTCTTGCAAGGTCGTCAAAACTGAGGCAACTATCCGCGAACATGGAGCCTCTTCCTAGCACGTATCCACTGGATAATTCTCCACTCTGATCTGATAGTTACGCTTCTTGTCCCTGCAATGCGACGCCTGCTTCTGGGGAAGACATGCCTCGGCCTCGGGGTCTGCAGTTGCGGTGTTTGCTATTGGTGTGGGGGTGGGCTGTCTAAACTGTCTTGTATGTCCTATTGCGAATCGGGATATGCAGTAAGCAGCCATCCACTGCGGCACTACCGCAGTGACACGTCGGGAGGGTGTGTCAAGATTTCGGTACCTGGTTTGAGAAGCTATTTAGATGCGTCTATTCGACCATAAAAGGAGATAATGCACGATGTTGACTCCAACAAAGTGACGACAGTGGTTCTATCGTGATTGAAAAAAGCATCTCATAGCCCACATTGACCACTGATGCTAGATATGATCGTCGGTCACTACATGAGCTTGTCTGCTCAAGGTACAAGGTAGTATATGCACGGTGGCTGCAATCTGCCGCGGATGGCGCCGCCATGCATCAATAACGACGAGGGTGTTCAAGCCTAGCGCTTTTACTTAGATCATAGTAATATGACACGGTGCCGCCCAAAAGCTTGCTCGGTAAAGCAAGCGTAGACTCAAATTGCCTAAGTTCCTAGCTTTTCTCTTGTCTATGACTTGCCACTCTTATTGTCAGGTGAAGTTAGCTACAGTATCAGGATAACTTATTACTTCGTGTGCCTAAATAGGGGAAGTTCACTACATGAGACGTCATTAGGTTTTAAGAGGCAACTTGGACACGTTACGGTCTAATATCACGAGCATCCATCACATGCACCATCCAGCGAACTTCAATCGAGCAATAACAAGGATATACTAAAACCCCAAGAACACGGATTTTCAATAGCCTTCACATATCCCACGCTTAGCGATGTAACCGCGCCCAGAGCTAAACCGAAACCAACCACGAGATACGAAAGCAGCATTGGCACTAGTTGGGCTGTAAACTAATCTAACTATCAACGGGAAACCATACGATCCGAGGATGAGTGTGCATACAAGTGAAGGGTCATAGGATTTTAGGCTCGCATTTTTGAGCCAGAAAGAATCAGGAGGGATATAGAAGCAGCAAGGAATAGCCCAATGCGGGATTACTAGGTCGATACTATTTTTTTACGAGGTGGCGGTGGGAATATCTGCTCAAATCCATCGCATTGCACTGTTCCTGTCCGGGAACGAGCTTACAGGTGAGGAGTTGGTTGGCTAATAATTCACTGATAGGGCATAACATAACCAAGATTACCTAATTAATTTCAGATCGCCCATAAATAGCGCTTGCTGCCGATGATCGTCTCATGGAAGTACTCATAAACGACCATGTGTAGACATCGAGATCTTGGGAGACTAGCTTTATTTCGTTAGAACACTTACTGTGTGTGCCGCGTTGACAGGTAGTTAATCTCTGCGATCGCAAAACATTGATTAAACACAGTAATAGTTGGAGGATTAGACTAGGCCACACGGTAGGTCTCAGGCACCTCATAAAACTTGATTTTCATTGCTTGGTTTCTTGTTGATAAGTGTGGTAGGGTAGTTAATCGAAGGCTATTGATTGGGAAGAGCTAATAACTGCAGAAAGACTTAAACAGAATATTGTTTCATGTAGTAACTGCAACACTATATTGGTATCAATACACCCCATATAACTTACGTCGTCGTTTCGGTATTTATTTCGCAGACAAGTACGTTGGGACTATACTCTGCACAAAATCCAACTTCCCGAGTTGTTGATTCTTCGTCCCCGGAAATATAGCATCTTAGAGTTATTTCTCGGACAACATCGCAAAATAAAGCCCCGAACCACTCGTATACCTCAAATTACTAGCACCGAATCCGTATCATTTCCGAATGTGAAAAAACAGGTTTAGCAGTTCGGCAAATTCGTAACTCTATAGCCTTTACTCGCGGATGGCAGTTAGTTTAGTTAAAGACTTGCGCCCGTTCGAGACAGGCATACGGATACCTCACCTCCAAGCATACTTAGGTATATAGTTATTACTAAAGGCATATCCCGACTATATAGAGAAAATAAGACGCATTATAAGCACATTATATTGGAATTCGCTTAGGGGTTTAACTCTAAGTAGTGAAAGCCATAGTTATATAATGGACTAACTGGAAATAATTATCATCGCTTAGGTGTCTCAAGGGTCTTCGTTGATAGTATCGATAGTTTCAAGTGCAATGCAATACTTCTTTTATGTAAGAACTATGATCGAGAATGAGCTTGGCCTCGTTACTGAAGCCAGCTTAAGTAATAAACAACGACACATACATATCAATACGCCTCATAGAATGTAGTTATTAATGCGTGCAAGGGTATAGCATTATATTTTGAGTATACCCACTTTACGCCAAGGAAACCCGCATTTGGGGTCATATAAAAGGCATGTATTGAATCCCTTACCTGCATGTACCTCTGTCCAGACTCTTCGAAAGCTGTATGCCCCACTATCAATAAGTTGTGTTCCGGAACACCACATATAAGCTCTTCACTTGCCCACTAACAACAATAAACTAATTAAGTCAAGAATATGTCAAACGAATACCTAATGCCTTATTACCCCGTATTGTAATTCTAGCCTCACTACGTCTTCTCAAGCTATTGTTTTCCAGATATGGTTTTCGTTATTAGAATTCCGGCTTCCGGCAATCTATAACAGGCAGTTAACTCTAAGGAAGATCTCGTAGACCATCTCCTAACAACTGTAAACTAAATTGCGTGTCGAAATCTATCACCCCTGGATCGAACCAACTGAAGTGATTTAGACCCATATGATGTTAAGCTCACGACGGCTCACGACGGCTCATTCTCGCACTATAATTATCCTTCGCGGATTAATCTCAAATGGGAAAATTTTAGGGAGCGAGATCTTTGAGACGGGCCTAACTTCAAGCGGCCAAACATTCCAACAATTGCTGCCCAACGCTCGCTTCATATTTCCCACGGCGAAACCCTTTCGCTCTCTTATGCCTTAATATCGCCTGTAGCCCCAATCTAGAGTATCGGAAAGAAGCCCAGATCTAGGGGTTGGTGTAAGTGTAATATGCTGTAGAACTAGAGTAGCTTATACGCTAAAAAGTCTTGATAGTTTCACCGCAGAATGTGATTACCTTAGGTACCTATCAGGTGGCTTGACTAAGGCTGTGCCATGTCGCTCTGTATGCTGCTTGCCCTTAACTACCTACCTAGCTATTATGTGGCTTTTTCGGAAAGTCTAGCTATTTGCCATGTCTTTGCCATGTCGTAAAGATATCGAAGATGTAAACCAGGACGACGATATGGAAATCGATGAAGACGATCTATTCACCAAGATCCACCAATCAAGACACTCATTTTTGGGAGAGACCCTCTTTGCCTTCCGCCCTTGGCAAACGCCACAATGCACGCTAATGTTCCTCGGACATGGCAATGCAGTCTGCAGATGAGAAGAAAGTCGTATAAGCAGGGCGATATTGCAGCGCAGACCAATGCAGGCTGCCGCATATAAAGTGGCTTGGAAGCTTTACCGCGATCTCGGGCATTGGTGCATAGTACTACATGAGATCAACGATTGTTTCCTTTATAAAGTCGAAGATTGGCTGAGTCATGCTGGAGGGGTCATATGAGGCTCCATTGATACATGGAAGTACTTTTATACGGCATAGTGTTGGTACCTCTTATGCAGATTGAAAATCGTCCTGGAAAATAAGACCATAATGTCATATAGATTTTTACCTACCTAGGTAGGTAGTTAGTAAGGGGTCAAACCCAAATTTACCATATGTTAGCAGCGCCATACATGCCGGAGTGATCTTAGACTTATAGCCAAGGTTGACATATTAAAATATTGACGGTATCGCAATTGGGTGAAAATACCTACCCCCATCTTCTATGTATTGATCGGGATGAATTGCATGTCTGCTTTAAAGCATCTAAAATGTTAGGAACCAGCCTGCTGTGAGTGAATGAGCGGCATTCATAACCTAGTAACGAACCTGCGGGATAACACATATTATAAACGGTCATCATACGTAGTGAATGGATATGTAGTACAATGCAAACTAATTCAATCGAATACGCTTCTACGTCTAATTAAGCTCACGGATCGCTGGATGACTCCAAGACAGGAATAAATTCGGCCCTAGGAGGTATCAACAGGTCGGGCCTTGGCACTTTCGGGTTATCTTTTCTCTTGATAGGATAAAAATAACTGAGGAAGAGGAATCTCGGCAAAAGAATATTAGCCAATTAAAATATAAGTATGGCCGATCTCTATATCTCGGAGATAACGTGATTGCACCATCGAAGCAATATGCAAAAAAGGGGGATCGCCCCTGAAATGATACCTTACCTTACTCTGGGTCGACGATTATACAGTCCATATAGTAGTATTCACACTGAATTTACTGTGTCCATTAAGATAAGATAACGACGATAACGGCCTTCGGAAATGTGGCAAAAACATGACTCTCGTCATTATTGTTCCGGGAGTATTAAAGAAACGATTCTTCGGTATTACTATTTCACAAAAATAATATTTAATATACATAGATTAGCTGAAAGACTTATCAAAGAAAAAAAAAAGAAACCTGCATAAAAAAAACTCAGCTCATATCGTATTATCAAAATTTTCTAATATCACGCAAGGGGGAATATTTCGGAGCAAACCGGGCGCACTTAAGGAGTCAAGCGATAAACTCGCCTGATCTGGCGTGGTTATGTAACGGCTGAGCCTCTACGTACATCGTCGGCTTTCGTTCGGTAACACGCTCGACTCGATCTACAACATCTGATTGCGCTAAGATCGCAGACCGACATTATCAGAGCCTCAAATTTGACTGGGTATACGAGCAAGGAACTGTCGTCGCGTTAGCCCAGGCCGTGATTCGCCATTTACATTGGCCGTCGTGGCCGCATTAGGTCCACTCACATCCCGAATATCCTAGTTGAGGGTCCCGAATACTTTGATATAAATAGTCCTTCGGTCCTAGTAGTACGTGTCTAGGTTTTCCTTTGAGGCCACGACGACGTGCTTTTGTGTTTCTGTTGACCCTTACTACGTATCTTTGACCTTGCCCATACCGCACGTCATGGCTCACTCCCACCTCTCGATAGATTCTCTCCCGAACGAGGTATGAGATCCCTTTATATCTGACATGCCTTAGTCAAATTTCGAAAATATTAACATCTACTTCAAAGATTATTATCAATGTTCTGAGTAATTTCCCGACTCGTTCGCTGTTGCCCCTTGCTGCTGTCTGCCGTCGCTTCTATGGACTGGTTGGCCGAGTGCACTATACGCGCCTTGTGGAAACATCGAGGCTTGAGGATCATGAAGTGATTCTTGAATGCTTCCACCCAAGCGAGAAGCTTAGTACGCCTTCACTACACTGCGAATTTCAAGGGATGCATGGACTCGCCGAGGCCGGCGAAGTTGCTGACCTCGGAGAGCTCAACAACATATACGCACGCTTTCGCCCATACCTCGACTCTGAGAAGGCAGCTGGTCAGATCGTCCAGATGCCGTCGCACGAGATTTCTCTGGACTCTGGCGAACTCTTCTCCCAACTTTGCACGATAACCAACCTAGTGAAGGTGGGACCAAGGCACGGCTTCTTTTCCAGCTTTGCCAACATCACCGACAACGTGATCCGCGTATGGCGCCACTGGTTGGACGAGGCAGCAAAAGCAGCAGCAAGGACGCAACAACAAGCGAGTTCGGACTCAGATGAACGGACCATCCTCTGGACCGATTCGTCAAAGACCGTCGGCATAAGATTTCGAGTCGTCGAGGACGAGAGGCAACCAGCACCCGTCCTCTTCGGTCGAGATGAGGAGCCTTCGGTTACATATACATTAGAGTACCAAGGTATGTTAATCTACAGAATGGGCGTTCAATCGTCGATCAAAGGCTTACGAAATTATCGCAGAGTTGCTTATAAGAGCAAACTGGTTACTTCTCAGCTTCGAGTCATCTGAAACTGAAGAAGAAAATCATGCAGGTAAAGCACTCGTAATTGCACCCATGTGAAGAGCTACGGCTATTCAATATTGAGAGTCTCCAAGATAAAATATCTGGACTCGGTTATTATTCAGATTCTTGCTACCGAACGAAGGTTGATATCAACCTTAAACCTAATAGCAAGTCTATTCATGGACTGGCTACGAGACAAGAGAGCCACATTCGCGGATCAAACCGTGATGCGACGCAACCAACAAAGCTGTTGAACATGTTCCGTCGGTGCGAAGGGAGAATGTTGGCCCAGTGGACCGAACCGAACCCGAAATGGAAACCAACCAACGCGAGCTGCATTGGGCTGATCCTGGCCGTGCTCAGTGCTCCCGACCATCCTTGGTCGGAGATCCACTATACTATATTTTTAGATTGAAGAACATTGACTCACATATCTTGACATTCTAGGAGCCGTTTACTTCCCAGGTACCGGCACGGTTTACCAGCCCTGTAACGCCTTTCTGCAATGCGCCGTCCCGTCAGAACGACTGTTCCAGTCGATGGTTACGACGTTCGTTATGTAAACCGTCACGAATGCGGTACGGGCTTACGGACTTTAATGAGACACGATATTTAATGTTATGGGTATAATAGAGGGGCGTGGGGATTGGCATAGCATATGTCAGACCATGCGATTGGGCGATAGGATTTTTTGTCTTTTTTAATGATGTGCTTGGAGTTTATATACCTAAACCGCACATATAGATTTAGCGGTGCTGCTTTGAAGATGGACATTAAAATTAGATTTCAATTCATTATAATAATTTAGAACTTAGAGTATCCCCATACGCATCTCTATTTCACGAATCTGCAGCGCGTTAAGATGAAGGGCTACTCTAGGAGTAGTGCTGGGTTTTGGGAATCGATTTTAATTCATCACCGTACGAGATCGTTCATGACAACTGGGGTATAATATATTCCGTAATTAGGCCGGCATAGTCAAAAGATACCGGAATACATATGCTACATTCTCTACTTACAACTCCTTATCGGTGATGTGTCACTTACATCAAGTCTCACCGCTAGCTCTGCGGGCCGTGACGAGCGCGAGACGATATATGAGCGAATTCACGACGGAGCCGTGCATGAATATACGTACCCAACCAACTTACATAGTACACGCGTAGGGAGATCCGTGCTCATCCGGTTCACCTATCGGGGGTTCACCGTCATCGACCCTCGCCTCTCTACCCGGTAATGCCCGTTGCCGTCCGGGACTGGCTGCGTCGTTCCTGCATGGATCGCGGCCTAGGCGCACGCCGAGTCTGGACCGAGTCATACACTAGCGCACACATGGCAAGATGATATATTCACTTACGGAATGTACATAAATAGTACGTGCGTTAGTGGCTGCTTCGAGGATTACCGGCCCTATCATTAATTCTCCGATCGTATATACATCGTACGGGACGATGAGGTTCAACTATATACGCTAGGGCCACATTCACATGGAAGAAGACTTGCTTTGGGTACGTGTACTTAATATACGGAATATACCTAGAGTAAGACCATCTTACGATGGATGGCCTGTCAGATATTCTGGTCCATAACGATAAGAAAGCGGGCAAACGACTTGATAATCTCCTTGGTAAGTGTTTGCTCGTCCGGTTTGGAGTTGGACTTTCACGAGCTGACCGGTTTTCTATGGTGTGGTAGGTATCTGTCTTCGTTGATGCAGCGCGGAATGATCCGCGACGTGCTCCCTGCGTCAGGCGAGTTTCATACTGGCCCGAGCGCTGATCGGAATGTGCCGAATTATCCCTAAGTAAATTTTTTCTCTGTTCTGTTTGTCTTTGCTCTGTCTTCGTCCTTGATCTATTTTGTTGGTCCAGATCTAGACTGCAAGTAAAAAAAAATCATATTAATCTGGCTAGGTAATCGATTAAGTATGTAAGTAACATGCTATGACTCTTCCCGAAAGACGTTTTCTTGCTGCTCGGAAATGATACTGTAGGTGAGATGTTGTGCAGAGGGAAGGATTTTAGCTTGGCGGACCTGGATCCTCTCACACCGTTAACATCCTGGGGCTCGCACTCTATCTCAAAGATCCTGAGACTATTATAAGCCATTCACCTTGTGGTCATAAGGATAATCGATGGATGGCTCGGAGTGGGATTAGGAATTACGACAACAGGATTCTGTCTGGCTCGATCAAGTTATTATTAAGGATTTACACAACTCTGGGCTGTTTCGCTCAGTGAGCAGGGCTCACCAAACCCGAGCCACATTTTGAGATATAGCAAATAATACCCTTGTTCACACTGACTAGCGTCTGCAATACCCATGAAGCTCTATGGCGATCTCACACAGCAGGTGTCCGTGCCATCCTGCCGGTGAATGGGGACTGAGTTCGGGTCTGCGAGTGTTTCTTCGTAGTTGATTTTCTCTACATTTGCAACACCAACGTGGTGTTCGTCGTCTTCATTATTGTACTAACGTTTTATTGCGCTTTCATTTCTTCGAAGTAGATCTTCGTCGGCCTGGTCGCCCTTTGTTTATTATAGTATAGTTCTTAATTACCCTCATCAATTGTTGCATATTTTCGCGCGCCGGCGATAACGTCGACCGCGCATTCCTACCTGGTTTAGGACCACGGTCGTGGGAAAACCACTTGTCGCGAAAGTTTTAGTGAGAGGTCTGTCGTTAGAGGAGGGGCTATATTACAGCAATCGCCATCATGGCTTCTCCAGGGCCGATGGTTGAGATATCAAATCCGAAGAGGAGTCTACCCGCAACACCAAGGCCACCAGTTAATTATCGGAAGACGCTTCCGCCTCTACCGCCGCCGTCGCCATTACCGTTACCCTCGTATCCTAATGAGAGGACCGAGGGGTTAAAAATTAATCGAGCATCGACAATTTCGAGTACGCTGGAATCGTTACTGACGGTGCTTGGAGGGAATGGGAGCGATGGAAGGTTATCGTTGGGCATACCGTCGATGAGGGAGCGCCCTCCGAGGCCGGTATCAAAGGATCCTAGGCCGGAGACCGCAGCTACTGCGGTAACTACAGAAACTATGATGTCGTATTCGACTACAGGATCGAAACGGACTATCAAATACGGCACAGGAAAGCATGCGAACGTCGAATTGTCTCCACAGCCCAGCGAGGATCCCGAGGACCCTTTAAATTGGCCATTGTGGAAGAAGCATCTAAATCTCGGAGCGTTATTGTCTATGGTCGCACTAGTGGGGACGATGAAGACGGCTTATATTAGCGTAAATAGTGTTATTGCAATGGGGGAATGGGTCTCATATACGGCAGCGGTAGCCTTAACCGCCGTTCCATTAATGTTGTCTGCGGTAACGGGGTTAGCTTCTTTAATAGTATCGAGGATATGGGGTAAAAGGCCGGTATACCTGATTTCAATGGTGATGATATTTATAGGGACTGCTTGGAACACAAGAGTGAGGGGGGATCTGGCGCAAAATATGGCGGCGAGGATATTTCAGGGGCTGGGCTGGGGTGCCTTCGATACTCTGGTCCTTGGGTCGATCCACGATACATATTTTGTTAGTAAAACCCCCTTTGCGATTTTCCTTCAAATACCATGTGCTAATTCGCCCGTTAGGAGCATGAGAGACAATCTAAGATTATCCTTCATCATGCTATCTCAGTCGCAACTATGTTGGGCTCTCCGCTCCTTGGCGGCGTTGCTTCAGCTGGTCCTAGGGGATTTGAGTTGCAGTTCGAGATTATGAGCGCCTTCCTAACGCTCTCCATCATATTACTTGTGCTGGGCGCCCCAGAGACGGCGTACAATCGTGTCACATTGGACGAGGTACCGACCATTCAACGTTCCCAATCGCTCTGGCCGAATATTACATATACAAAGGAGGCTGCTATGCAGTACATTACTAAGATGAAGCCTTGGTCATACCAGGCGAATGAAATCAACCTCGCACTAATATTGCAAGGCCCCCGAGCCATAGTCGCGCCGACGACCGCACTCCTTTTTGCCGTGACCCTTCTGCCATATGCTGGTTTCTGGAGTCTACTACACTCACTTTCGATGCTCTTTTCCCCACTTCCTTTCATGTTATCTTCGGCGTCTATTGGCTTCTTAATGACAGCCCCCTTTCTCCTTGCTACCCCTATAGCTGTTGCGCTTGCCTTGCCTTCATTTCTTAAGCGCTTTTCGCGAACTGTCCATCTTACGACGCTTGCTCTTGGTACCACTTTTGCTTCAATTGGGATGTTAGGGTTTGGCCTCTACCTCTCTGGGTCAATGGAAATGCCTGGAGATAGCTCAACAGTACCTTTCGCTACGCCGTGGAGCTTTGGGTTGGATCGGGTCAGTCTCCCGGTAGTGTCGTTCCTTCTTGGGCTTCTGGCGGCTGGGTCTCTAGCTCTGGACAGCACATTCTGGCCCGTCATCCAACGGTCTACGGCTTTCACTTCGGCGAACCTTGCAGTCTGCCTGCGCAACACAGCGGATATGCATGGCGGTCTTACATGCTTCCGGAATATTGTCGCAGGTGCCCTTATCCTAGGTCTCCCCAACAGTGTTCTTTCGTGGGATGACCTTAAGGCAGCTACGTTAGGTCTAGGAATTGCGCAGATCATTCTAACGATAGCAGCATGTGGTGTGTATTGGTACTGGGATGAAAATGTGAGACGGCTCGACGGCCGGATAATGGGTCTTATTGATTTATCGATGTTGAAAGAAACGGCTAGCGTTTTCGAAACGGATTAAGAGGCAGTTTAATGCTTCAGAGTAGAAAACAGAGCTCGGAGTTCAATATATCTCTGCTTTAAGCTTATTAGAATATTCGTGACTTATTTAACATACAACAACAGATACTTATAGATGAGGCTAACCGGGATCTACTGCCTGACTTGATCAGAAGAATTACTCATACCGTGCCGCTTCAGAATTGGTTGCATTGGGCTCTCTTTATAACGAACATAGCGTAGAGCACTGCCAGTATACTCAAGCCCAGCCCTTAGGTAGGTACCTATCTAAGTGACTCATGTAACTGGGGGCGGAATTATATTGCGCTAAGTCGGACAACGTATAATGGCATACTTACACTGGAATTGACTCCTCGTTCACTCGAACCGAGACATTATCTTTAAATTCCAGTAAATTACCATATAATGCGTGTCGTCTTATAAAGCTTTAATATACCAAACAGCTGCATCATGGCCCAACACACTATAGATACCGCGGAAGCCATCTCAAGACCACCTATAACCTCTCTCATTAGCGTACCCTCGGCGCCTGTGAGGGGCGGACTGCCAGACCCACTGATGAAGTTAGGCCATGATGTTATAATTGAGATCCCGCCCCTATCCGCCGCGGACGACGAAGCTTTCGTAGCAGCTCTTGTGGAAGTTATAAACGTTGCATACACAAACATTAGTGCCTCCACGGCACGTTCAAAAGTAAGGAGGTAATGTAGCGGAGGTCCCCTTGCAATATGTACAATCAACCGTTACAGGCAATACAGTATCGGACAATGAGTACAACAATAAAATAAGACCTACATAGATATAGAGAGGTAGGACAAAAGGGAAGGTTCGGGGGTGATCCAGATAGATACACTGACAATGAAGAAAAAGAAAAAAAAAAAGCACTGCCCCCACACCGGATTGAACGATGGACCTCTCCATTTCGATGTACACTAGATCGTAGATAATACAATCACATGATACGAGTGGAACGCTCTACCACTGAGCTATAGGGGCTGTAGACAGTTAAAATTTTCTCAAATAATTCACGTTATATTTTAGGGCGGGGTACGGAGGGCTGGGCCTGGCAAATTCCCCCCACCAACCAGGTAGTATGAAGCCCCTCCAATATTTAGAGTCCAAACGTCCGTATCGCAATTCAATTCTAATGCATATTAATTGTTATGACACGTGAGTATTCGACAGCATCCATTTACCACCAAAATAAATTAGGCATCGTACCATTCCGTCGAAGTAGCCACGATTAAGGAATAGGATATAAATCTTAGAAAGCTGATTAACTGTCGCCAATGTACTCCTATATACCAAACGGTGCACGCGTAGCGGTAAATTAGGAGGTACATAATGGGAAGTCGGGACATCATCGCTACTAAGCGTTAGGTACCTTACAATGCAATGTGGATTGTCTCGCGCTTTCTTCACAGACCGTTATCATCTCCGGGATTTCAACTCCTGCCGGCATGGGATCATCGGGGGAGTCGCGGATTCAGCTGCGCAGCTTCTCATCTCGTGTCGATTACTAGATCTGGTTAGTACCGCGAGGTACGTACCTTTGATATAGATTCACGTATGATCTAAGCTAGGTAAACATTTACCAACGTTCTACTGGCATTGTAAGAGATTTCGTATATAAAAACCAGATCCCCGAGTTTATTTTTCGTGCTCTTCTCAGTAGCTTACTACCGAATCCTCAAGAAATAACTTTGTCTGGTTCTTATCAACGCTGAAACTTATATTTGTCAGACGTTGGTACAATACCCAGGCAATCATCTGCCGGGCTAGAACGTTTTGGCGGAGCCTTCGATTTGATGCCAAGCTTGCGAAGTAGGAGACAAATAATCAAAACGATAGCTACTGGATTTATTCTAATTGACAACACCGTCATATCATCAATGTTAGAGTTCACCAATGTTACATATGACGCCGACCGGTTGTTTAAACCAGCGCCGCGATCGATTTTGTTCGTAGATCTAAGGTTGCGGTGGGCGATGATGGCGGGTTGGGGATTTGCCCTCCTCCGCGTTCCTCCACATTTACCCCAGACGAACGACGGTGGATCGACAGCGTATGACGTGCCAATGAACAAATGTTCGAACCTTCAAGCGAATCGATCTCGAGGTTGTAAATGGGGTGCTAGTCTCGCTCGCGCGGCTAACATCAAACATGAAGTCATTCGTCACAAGACATCACGAGATGGATGATCCGTTTAGGAATCTAACGCAATTATATAACCTATATAGATGTCAGAGTTTCCTTCGATTATAATAAGACTTAGCATAGTTTGCCATCAATATACACACCTCGAAGAATATTCAAGCACATAAAAATCAATTATCAATATCAGAAATAACATCAATCATGTCTGCCGACGGCCACGGACTTCCAGACAATGCCATCAAAGGCGCGCACGACATGATACATCATGCCGAACAAGAAGAGCATGAGCACGAAGCCGCGATGAAGCGAGGAATTACAGACGAAGCGGCTGAGGCTGAATATCAGTTGATACACGGAGCTGAGGAGCGAGCTGATCGGGCCGAGGTAAGTTTCTCCGCACTCAGCTCATGTCTATTTAGCACTAAAAGATGCTAACCATTAAACAGAGGAGACGTAGTTCTCTTAGTAAAGTAAAGAGGACTTTCGAAAAGATCATTCCTGGGAAGCATTGAGATCCTACCGGATCGGATTACCGACTAGCTGGCGGCGAGACTGGTGTTTGTACAACAAATTGAGAGTTTGATGATATCCTGTAACTATTTTTTCGGGCTTTAGGCCCACGAAGGACTCCATCTTCGTTAATTCACATTCCTAGTTTTATCTTCACAACATTGCTACTACCTCTTATAGCTTCAATATATTTTAAAGATCTTCCCCCAAAAGTACATTACCCGCGGCTGCGATTGTTAGCATTATAATCTCAAATACAACGTTATATCTTCTATATAATAATATGACTAAGGTTGGCATGTTTTTTACTGTGTTTACCCATTCGACGAACTCTAGAACTGATAAGCAATATGTCAAAGGAGAGAGCTGTCTACTATGTGTGTATGTGGCCTCTTCTTATAGGAAGTAAGAGGGTCCACATACTGGGGCTATCCACAACGCTGGCTATCTCATCAGTGGGACACGATACCAATATAATGGAGCGGATGGCATCCTAGTGCAGATTAATGGTCTGACCGTACAAGCAGGCTGAGGCGAAGGATGTATATACCACTGTTGGTTGTCGGCCAAGAAGTGAGTTATCGGCCGAGCACCAACACCCACCCAAGTTACACGAACGAGGGGGTCATTATTACTACCCTCCCTCGCTGCCTCTCTGTCGAAGGGATGCTCCGAATCCCCAATCCCCATTATCTTGGCAACTCGTATCAACCAAACTTCTCACGAACAAGCAACTACGTTACTACCTTTTCTACTCCCATCAAATGATGAACACTCTTCACCTCGTTCACATACCCATATGTAGTTAAACAACATCGAAATGAGTGCCACGAAAGGGACAATCCTCATCACTGGTGCCAATGGGGGCCTCGGAAGCGCCATTGCTAAACAAGCCTCTTCTGAGCCCAAATTCAATGGATATCACAGCCTGTTTGCTGTTCGTGACGCGACAAGGGCACCCGCCCTTAGATCCGTACTCTCGAACGCAACACATCCCTACGATCTTATATCCCTTGACCTGACTGACCTCGATAATGTGCGTCAGGTCGCTGAAGCGATCAATGCACGCGTCGCAGCAGGAGAAATTCCTTCTATCCAAGCCTTGATTCTTAATGCTGGATTCCAAGATTTTGGCAAGCAGATTTGGACTGAGGACGGTTTCGACGTGACATTTAGCGCCAATTATCTCGGTCACTGGCTATTAACGCTGCTGCTTCTAAAGAGTATAAACAAAGACTCCGGTCGTATAGTTGTGGTCGGAAGCCAGTCCCATGAGTAAGTAACCACCTATTCACTAGGTATCAACTATCAACTCGTCAGCCTATGTAAGCTGATATAGAATTTGCCTATGTTTATCAGTCCTTACGACAAGCGTAACGACGGCACAGGGGCGTTTGCAGATGAAAAGGACAAGACCTTCGTAAACGACCAGGCCAGTTTTGAAGCAATAGCAAAAGGCACCTGGAGCTCCGCACAAGAGGACCCATCATGGCGAGGCGGGTTTCGTCGCTACGGCGCGTCCAAGCTCTTCCTCATCATGATGATCCACGAACTCCAACGTCGAATGAATCTCGATCCTGTTCTGAGCAATGTCTGTATTTTGGGCGTTGATCCGGGTACTATGACGACAGGTCTACAACGACACGCATCCTGGATGATTCGGGTTCTATTATTTCAAATTATTTATCCAATCATTGCTTTCTTCATGCCGAACGGACCAGTGCGGACTACTGATAAATCAGCGTCGCGAGTGCTCCACGCCGCATTTGAATCAAGCCCAGAGTTGGGGGAGTCTCCGAAGGGACTATATTTCCTGGATCAAGTGCTTTTCGAGACAAGTGCTGAGTCTAGAGACGCGCATAAACGAGATATAGTCTGGAAGGAAACCGTAAAGTATACTCATTTAGATCAGAGCGAGACCATTTTAAGTAATTGGCAGTGATGGGTTCAGATTGTCCTTTAGACTTACATAGTAGAATAGCGTCAACTGCATAGTAAACTCTGAGAAAATTGATTTACGGAGTTACTGATAGGTTGCCATTGCATTGGCGATCATATGGTTTTTGTCTCTTCACATTCACAGAAGCAGGCTCTCAGGTAAGGGCGGGTGACGTGAAATGGAGGCCAATCATTAGCATGTAGAAATTTAATATATGCCATCCTTTTCATGCTGTCCTAACTAATATACGGGCCATGCGTAACAACATCCTGTCTTACATTCGTACATTAGGTACCTAACGTTCTTTCACAGTAATTACTCTCAAAGTCAAGAGAGCAATCGCTAACAAGACAGCCGTGTACATCATCTCTTTTCCTTTTAACTATCAGTGTCAAAGAACTTCTACATATAAATCCCGTCGATAATTATTTCATAATACTTCATCAGTCTGTATTCTAGCTTAAAGTTATCTTTACTCAGTACCTACTAGCTGTATCGATTATATCAATTAGTATGGATCCTGGATATCTGGATCGCACACCATCCGTAGACCCGCCTCCAGGGCGAGAGTCTAACTTCACCAATCCCGAATCAAGGTCCCACCAGCTATACATTCTAATTGCCGTACTCTCCCCTATTGTCTTTCTGGTTGGGTCTTTGCGTATCTACTCCCGTCTAAGGATAACTCGCTCATTCGGGGCCGATGATTGTAAGCTACGATGCCCTTCACTCATGGCAACTGTCTCGATCTAACTTATCTATTTATTCAGGGATCTGTATTGCTGCGACGGTTAGGGTTCCCTATTTGCACCTAATAGCTTATACTAGACTCAAGACTGCCTAAAGTATCAAGTGATAATACTAATACAACAAATGGTTTAGATTCTTACCTTGTCTTACTCTGCACTGATCCTTACACGTACGTTTTCCAACCCCTAGCTCACAACGAACCGCGTGATGATATCAGGTGCTAAGCCAACAATCTACAGTTCTCTGGAAGCCCGGTGGTGGTATATTAGGAATCCATTTCTGGGATGTGCCAATCTCGCATTATATTGAATACCAAAAAGTGAGTCTCTTTACCCTAGATTACAGGTATTCAGTCGAAAATACTCATACCAATATATTTGAAGGGTTCGCTGGCCGACTCCGTTCTCATTCGCATTACCAATACTACGATTAAGGTCGGTTTCCTAGTGTTTTACCTTCGACTATTCAACCCCGTGACATATGTGAGATTTATGGTATGGATTGGTATGGCTGTGGTGATTACCTTTTGCGTCATTTTCGTTGTCGTCGACCTTGTGGCATGCGCCCCCTGGCCAAGTGAGCACGGCGATTGGATAGCCCCGTCTCTCATTGATCGATGCACTCGAATATCGGTTAATCTAATCACCGCCGCCGCTTATTTCACTGTCATCACAGACTTCTACGTCTTGCTCATCCCTCTCCATCAGATGCCGAAGCTTGGTCTTTCCCCGAGGAGAAAGTTAGGCGTCAGCATAATCTTCCTCACCGGTTTACTGTAAGCGACCCCTTTATCGAGATATAAATTCCGCCTAAGATTATGTGTAGTGCTACTGGTGCTGCTTTGGCCAATCTGATTATACGACAAGACAAGAAACTATTTGATCGATCAGATTTCACTTGGACTATCGTCCCCGTGTACGCTACCAGGTAAGAAAAATAGCCATGATTCATAATTATCCCTGCTTGTCACAAGACTTTAGCGCTAGCTATGGCGTATCGATACTAATTTGAGATATGATAGTATCGTTGAGATCAATGTTGGTCTCATTTGCCTTTCGTTGCCAGTCATCTTTGTTCTATTCGTAGGCCGTTTCACGAACCTTAGTAAATCCGTACGTTCCTGGATTCGGGAAAGGCGCAGCCCTCACCAGAGTTCAAACGAGAGTTCTTCGAATCTTACGCCCAATGAAACCGTAGCACCGCAAATTCCATCCGTACCGAGTGATACAAGTTTCTCAGGGATGCGTAAGTTCATCCATAACATATATCGATCCGGGGCACGAAGCTCAGCGCGCGGGGAAACCACCGTCTCAACCTTTGACGATCTTACCTCAGTGGATCTCAATTATCACCTCCAGTTGAAAACCATGAAGTCCAAGGAGACTGAAAATACCCACGGGACTTGTCAAGCATGAACACTGTGGCTTACGAGACATTAGGATCCTTCCTCGATGAAGAAAATGAAACTTTGGCAGAGCGATCCTCGGGGGGAATATTGGAGCGCCAATTTGTTTGATAACTTTCCTTGGCTTATAGTCGATCCCCGGGCAGAGATATTTTGCGTATACCCTCAGTGTAGGCTTTTGACAACTACTGTACTTCCTTTAGATTAACTTGACGCAACGGTCCTTTTCATAGCGTACTGTCATTTTACCTTAAAAATCGATCAGATTCTTGAAGAAGAACCATCTCTCGATTTCGATTCGCATCTAATTTATTGGTGGCGGAATACCTAGCACAACAACCGGCTACGGTAGAATAGAATATTATGCAAACAGCAACACTTCCTATGCCCCTTACTTTATTTACAATCATAGTCTCTAAATAAAGCTTAACCATAGACCAAGAGTTTTCTTTTGAGTGAATCTAAGGGATCAGAGGTTTTACAATTGCTGAAATACAAAGCTATCAAATTTGTGGCAACTCCGACTTCTTCCATTTTATCAACAATAAAGCCATTATCATACCGGTGGGTGGGAGGAATCCCCATGGCGCTTCGCGTTACATTCAATACTCGATACTTTACAAGCAAGAGGCGAAGTCAACCCCGTTATCGTACTCACTAGATCAACTAGTTGCTTTAACTATAACACCACTAATAGGAAATATATATTATAACGTAATTCGGGTAGATAAAGTGTACGGCTTCATCGTAGGAAAAGGGGATCGATCGTGTCGGAATGGGCGCCATATATTCTGGGATTTTGGTATTTCGCCATGTAAAATTATCGTATAATATCTTTTTCTTGTACCTAGACATCTTAATCCCGAACTATATTTCAAATAGCAGAATAAATCTAGCATCCTTCCTTATAAAGATGAATCCTAGTGTATATAATCTAGCATCTACACTTCCTCACATAAGGCATCATAACGACTACCCCTTCCAGTAAGGTAATCAAACTCGCGCTTGCCAGAGTCGATATTGTTCCCAGAGTCCCTAGCACCTAAGACATCTTGGATTGACCAAGCAATCCTCTCGGCTCCAATCCTAGCACCGATTAGGTTTGGGGCGCCGGGTCCCAGCTGCAACGCAGCAAGCCTGCCAGCTAGGAACATGGGGACGTCGTCTCTCCACTGCAGTAAGCTGAGTTAGCTGTGTTATATGACTGGGGTAGAAAAGAGGACACGAATAACGCCAGACCAGGGAGCATCAATAACAACTACCAGAACCGACAACGAGACTTTCGGGGATAAATAATATGTAAGCAAATCTAGAACATGCTTACCGCCATATTCTCTGTAATACAAGGCATGCCCCCACAGTTTTCAATGGGATAATCGGTGCACATGGACTTCAAGAAAGGAAGGCATTCGAAGTTACCCTGAACGCCAGTTGCGAAGTAGATATGGTCGATCCGAGGGAGTTCTTGACTCTCATCCGATAGCGACACCGTCCAAGTCTTGGAGCACGGGTCCCAACTCTTATCCTTAATCGTGGTGTTCTGCAGTAGGGACAATCGACCAGTAGATATATGCCGCTCGAGAACTTTCTTGTATGCCGGAGTAATACTACCCCCGTTACGAGCAGTCATTATCTTCTCCCATCGCTCTTCAGCAGAATCGGATGTCCAGAAGGCGGCTTGCTCGAAGTTTCGGAACTTGCCCACCCATTCGAGCCCTATATCGAAATATTTCACTTTAAGGGGCCCACGCATCAACAGCCACACCTTGTTTACCCCGCGACGAATAGCTAGGTCGGACAACTGAGCCGAGGTTAAACCTCCTCCGACAATCACGATGTTAACAGGGGATCTGGTATTCAGTTTCGCTTTAACGTGAGAAGACGGGAATTCCTTAATATGCATGGCGTGAGTTGCTCCCTCCGCCCCCTCTGAGATATTGCCGGGGATCTGGGGTGGGTTACCGCCCACGGCCAACACCACGGTCTTTGCGTAGTGAGTACCCCTATCTGTTCGGACGGTAAAGACCTTGTCGACTTCGGAGACATCTTCAAGGTAGTCATAGCGAATGTCGTCTACTTTTTCATGGCTGACGATATTGCCGCGTAATCCATAGCGGTCCATAAGACATCCGCAATGGGAAGCGAAAAGGGGCGTCGAAGGAACGAAATAATCGTTTCGATCACGCTCGTCAACAGTGGGTTCTGTCCGTGGTCTTCCATATTTAAGCGCATGTTCAAATTGGGAACCTGAATAGAAAAGCTTACATTTTCCCAGCCCTCTCCCTCTTCTTTCTTTGGTGTTTACTTAATTCCTTGCCGACGCAGCCCCGAAGCTCTGTGAGTTCATTCCCTCTATCATTTCTATATGTAAATGCCAGTAGGCCATCTCGTTCAGCTGGGTCGACATGGAAAAACATTGGACTTCGGAGGTGAGAGATATCGAAGGTCTTGAATAGGGTATCCCATCGTGCCATCCAACAGTTGTCTGTAGCATCGAGCACTAAAAGGTCTAGGCTAGCAATACCTGATGAAGCGGTAGGCGATTTTCGGCGCGTCTCGAATCCCGTCTTGTAGTTTTTGATGCTGGCCTGATTTCGGTGTTTCTTAATCCAATGGTACCTTTGATGTTCATCGTCTGAGAAGTTCGCTGCCGGCATGCGTTCGGACAATCGCGCTGCAACAGCAAGGCCACAGGGTCCAGCGCCGATAATTACGACGTCGTGGACCCGGATATCGCTCATCTCGCCAGCAGTCATATTTAGGTACCCCAGGTGTTATGAGAACGTGGTAGCAGAATATCCATAGACTAACTGGCGGCTATAAGGGCCCAGATGGGAGAACCTTGATGGTAGGTTGGACACCCTGATGGCATATCCCTCTTCAGTGGAGATGACCTTGAGGTCACCATTGCCAGAAACGACCCATTTGAGCATATTGCATCAATGACCACTTCTGCCATTGCTGGCTAGATGCCTATGGCTATGCTAGAAGCTGGTAGTCGAGTATAACACCGGTTGCGGAAGAGCAGACCGGGCTAGGGGCCATGAGAGCGAACTCTACCATGGTACGCAGCCTACCTTTTAATGTAGGATCGCCCCGCCACGGTTCATATAGAGTGTTCCAATCCCTTCTTTGGTCGGCATTTGGCTTCGTATGGCCGTCGAGTTGATCAACACCAAAATTTGTCCAGAAGCCTGCCAGCGGACTCATTCATTCAAAGTGTTCCGATACGTGGTAAGCCACAGCCGTCTCGTCTCCTTCAAATGCGCCACATACTGGACATGTCACCGTGGTTGATGTTACATCCGTAGTAGAATTTGCCACCACGTTACTTCTTAAGGACTGATCACCCCGGGCCGACCCGTCTGGGCGGTCAGTCTGCTTGGAACCATTTTTGTTCTTGCCCTTGCGTCTTGAAGGCACAATATACGCACCTAAGTCAGCCTGCTCGGGTGGAAGGTCAAGCGGCTCTTCTAGCCTCGCGTCCCGATAACGCGGGCGACGCGCACGTGGCTGTGAAGTAGTCCCCTCCACCGAATCCACTGGTCCATCTACGGTTGACGTACTTCCTAATGCTACATCATCGGGGATAGCATTTGATGTTGATGTTGATGTTGATGTTGATGTTGATGAAGTAGATGAAGTAGTGCTCATACTCTGGACCCGTCCGATACGACCATCAGTAAGTCGAACTTTGATACCGCGATGATGGTCACCTCGTGTTAAAACATCGCGAACAGTTCCGCTTACTTGGCGGCCCGTGCGCTGATCGGCTTTTAGAACAATATTCACAACCGCGCCTTGAACTACCTCGGTCGTCTTCGGAACTCCACGGCTCGCCATCGTAATGGTGTGGTAGTGGCGTCTGGGGATAGTTTGGGGAATGTGCTAAGATCGGTGAGCAGATAGGATGAGATCTGTTTTACTTTTTATTAGAAATATGACAAGTCTGAAAAAATCATTCGTTATTCTTCACCCCCCTCCCCAATACTTATAAGAGAGTTTTCTTATACCTCGTAAACGCAAATATACGTTTAAATGCACTCCGCTTAGGTATGCATCTTCCTTGAATTCCATCCCATGGCTCTGGGTTTATTCTTGCAGCTTCTACTCTGCAATATACTTAGCTTATAGCTTCTATATAAGAGTATTGAACCATGGATGATTGCAGCTTGCATGCAGCATGCATATAAGTCTCGTCACGGGACTTTTTATAGACAAGAATTGTTTCCCTTTTTATACATATGTTAGGTAAGGTAATTCTACCATCTGCCGCACTCTATCGCCATCTTTATCGCCGACACGTAAATTCTGACCTGTCACTACCTATGCAGATGACAAGTCGTTTTGGAGAACAGATAGGAGATGGCCGTTAAGCAAGTGATAAAAAAAGAATGCATTAGCACTTACATTAAATCTTACTGACAACCACAGTTTCGAACTACCGAATTAAATTAAATCGTCAAAAAATGACAAAAGTAGTAGCTTTACTTAACCGATAACCGAAGCACTCATTTATTCTGATCTTAATTCTGACTAGTAGTCACGATAGGAAGCTATATTTGAACTTAACCGTATGTTAAGCTGGTTCGAGATATGCCAATTATTTTTATTTCGCTATCCGCTTGGTCGGTTCTCCAAGGAACCGTGTTTTGTGGAATCGATCTCCAAAGACGCCTTCTCTTCGATCCTCACCGACTACCGGAAATTTTCCTGGCTATGCTTCACGCGATTGGTTAAGGTGTCTCCAGCTAGTTCCCCATCCCTTGCAATAGACACGCTAGGTTAGCTTGTCGCCATCGACTAGCCCCTGTACCTGTAATGCTCCGATATAAATGTCAAACCGTCTCCTCGACCGGTAACTTCTTGGGCGCGTAGTACCCAAACTCTCAAGGGAATCATCTCAACTCGACGCGGAAGCCCTCTCCACTACGCCACTCCGGACTTGTTGGACTATCTACACAAATTACGGCCTCACTCAGAATGCGCAAGGTTTTGGCGGGGCCAGCTGACCGCTTGCCAAGACCACCTTATGACGCTGAGATAGACGCGATATTCAAGGCTCTAGGCGGCACGCCTGAGAGGTATGAGGTTGAGAAGCTTAGGAAGGATGCGGCGGCGAGGACTCGGCCTCTCACGAACGCTCTCCTTACCGATGAGAGTGTTAAAGTCGACGACGTCACAATCCCTGGGCCTCGAAGGGATTTAACGGTCTCGGTTGTACGGCCAGCCGCCGCGACGGGTGATCAGCATCCATGCATTTTCTACATCCACGGTGGTGCCTTAGTTGCAGCAGATCGCTTCGCGGGATTGGATACTAGTGTCGTATGGGCAAGGGAGTTCAATGCCATTGCTATAAGTGTGGAGTACGGACGTGCGCCAGAGAATACCGGTACGCAGCCTGCAGAAGACTGTTACGCAGCATTAATCTGGGCCGGTAAGCACCTCTCAGAACTAGGTATCGACCCTGACCGACTGCTGCTCTACGGCACGTCTGCTGGGGGCGGTTTGGCGGCGGCCACAGCATTGATGGCACGTGATAAAGGCGGCCCGAAGCTGTGTGGCCTTGTTCTCGAATGCCCCATGCTCGACGATAGGAACGAAAAGGTCTCTTCTCAACAATTCTCCACCGGTCCATTTTATAACTCGACTCTAAACAGGTTTGCCTGGCGTTGCCTCCTCGGTGAGCGCGCTGGGAGCAACTCTGTTACTGAATACGAAGCACCCGCTCGAGGGGATGATCTCTCAGGGTTACCACCGACATACCTCGACTGCGCTTCGGCTGAACCGTTTCGGGATGAGATTGTGGCATTCGCCTCCAAACTATGGGAAGGTGGGGTTCAAGCAGAGCTTCATGTGTGGCCTGGTGGCCCCCATGGATATGAAAGAATAGTTCCTACCGCGCCCTTTGCTATAATGGCAAGACAGACCAGATTGGCCTGGATTCGTAGAACTTTTTTTCAAGCAGCCTAAAGGGCTTGGCTATTGGATTTGCCAGTGTCATTAAATCCATAGCCGCTACGTAATCACATTATGTGGCTCCACGGTCAAACGATTCGGTGGTCTGTGGGAGGTTGTCTGGACTATTCCAAGTATAGGGGGCGTCAATGCCTCCTATCTACCCACGTATATATCCAGATTGTGCGTTCACAAGAGGAATTTTAGGTTCGGGTTCTGTATTGGTTACAAGTTTTCCCACCGGGAGAATGTACAACATTTGCTATGCTTTAGCTACCGGATGGATAGATCTTTTTGGTTGGTGAACAGCCTTACCAACTGCTTAAAGGTGTATTAATAATCAGTCCGCCATAGTTAGATTCGTAAATTGGTAAAATTAACCCATAACGTTATCTTATTCGGTGTCGGTACCTACGGAATCAACGGCACAGCTCTCTCAGAAATGTCAATTAAAGCACCAAATTGGTTTCATTCGGGCCAGGTAAGTCGAGGCGAAAACGAATTAGGTATCAGCATTCCCGTCGTTTTGAAGACCAACTGAACTTTTAAACATCTTGGGTTCATTTCTCCCGCCTCACTTTTCGCGATGGTGTCGTTTCATTATCCCTGTCGCCACGCGAAAAGCTGCAAAGAAGAGAGAAAAAGCTAAAGTAGTATGAGTTGTTAGGAGCTCAGACCATCATCTTTTCGATAATCAGCCAACAAATGTTCAGCCCTGCCCAAAAAAAAAAAAAAAAAAAAAAAAGTCTCCATTTAGCACTCGATACGTTTAGGTAAGTACTTCAACGGACACGCGTTAAACTCTGACTCCGAGGGAACGGAGCCTACATCGAGATCTCCTATGTCACGTTCGATGTTCCACCATAACCAGATATTGGTGTTTTGACCGAGCACCGTTTCCGACCTCCGAAGACAATTTGCTATACCATACGCTCTGACATTTGATAATGACGTGAGGTTCCCCATATTATCTCTAAGGCATAGCCGTGCTTTATCAGAAACATAGCGCACAGAGTGCCGTACTATGTAGTTCTCTTAAGCGACAATATATTCTGTCTCCACTCCCCTTTCACGGATCTGTGCGTCGTGGTGTTGCCATACCTATAATATTTGGTCTATAGGCCTGGTTGAAGGAGTAAGGAATAAGCGAATCAGTACCTATGTAGGAACCCCCGTCCCATACGACTTGGAAAGGAGAGGTAAAAACAATCAGTCAACTCCAATACATAGTCCAGATGCTACTACAATTTTACGTCAGAAATATTCCATACTAGCCCACTGAAATGTCGCCGTTTGCTATGTTTTACTTGGCCCCATATCTCTAATATTTCCATATGCTATTCAGATTTGTATCGAAATACGAACGGGCTGTGAGGAAGGCAGGTTTAACAGCGTTTTGAACAGGTATGTTAACACCCCCAACCGTGTTAACCATGCTTTTTTAGTATGTAGAACAACCCGACTCATCACCAGGTTCCCTTCAGGTCCCTTCAGGTCCATTCATTTACTGCGTCCGCCACGAGTTGATTCCTATACCCGAACCGTACTACCCCCATCCACGACCTGATCATTATCCAGAAGAACCCGACGCGATACGAAAGATGCCGTTCCCCAGCACTTGCGTTCAATACACAACTGAGCCTAGGACCCAAGGAAGACTTGAGGGGGGAAAACCCCCCATAGATAGGATATTGACTCGATTCCGTAAAGGGACAATTCCTATTCAAGGCAGCAGCAAACTACAAGTTTCTAGGGATGCTACTTATTCGTAAATAGTAGAATGTTGTTCTAAAATGTAGTTGAACTCGGCGGAACCGCCGGCATTACGATGACGTATAGCGTAGTGTGATCCAACCAATCCTACTCCTAATTGAAGCTCATCTATACCTTTACATGGACAGGGCACCTATTATTTTTAAGATTAGATACTGTTTTTGACATTCCCAACTTACGAAGCGTGGCTACGTGTTCTCCTTTCCAACCGAAGTAGTCCACCTAAGACCTCAAAACACACCACAAGAAAAGGGGTTAACCCAAGGATAACAATATTATTGAATATACAAAACACCCACAAGACACAGTTATATATTACTTTATATATATATTTTTCGTAATAGACTGACTTGCCTTTCTTAACAAGGTTAATAAAATAACAACAACTTATGATATAGCACTCCGAGTTAATGGCGGAGTATTTAAGATTGTCATTGCCTTTTTCTTAATCAAAGTACCCATTTAGTAAACACATAAGTTAATATCTACATTTATCTATCCAGTGTATACCTTTAATCACCTCTCTATTCTCCTGCAAACCTTTATTCGTACATTCATAAAGCGGGCAGTTTCAGTTAACATATACCGATTTTATTCAACCGTGTCAAACTATAAACATTTACAAGATAACAGTTCAAAGTCACAACTAAGCCTAACCATCGCCAGTCTTCGTTTCAAGTGGTCCACAGGGTCTAATGAAATACTTAGTGCCGATGTCCAACCTACTTCACAACTCCTTTACATCCAGAATGACACGTCACTCTTAACTCCGACTGTAAACAGTCATGTTTTGCATCTGAATATTGGGTAACTTCAATTTCAGTTGCGTATTGTTAAGCTAATGATGAAATCGACATTTACACCACGTTCTCTACATAAAATAATATTACCTAGGCTTAGTTAAACAGAAGATGTCCTTAATATGATAGTCTGAATACCGTTCACCAGTGCTTACCACGGGGCCATGGATATGTGCTATGTTTTGGCTGCCTACCTACCTAAATAAAGATTGCGATGTGAATACTACATCGAGGAAGCTCAAACAGGCCGTGTATTCAAGTGAACGCGGAAAACATGGGAATCTCGTGTTATCCGGAAGCCAAAGCCACTCAAGCAAGGAGATCCGCATATGCCTCATGCAATCAAAGGGACATATATTACTCCATGTAGATATCAAGCTTTACGACCCGGCAAGGAGCAGTGTGACAGTCGATAGGCAGTGTCTTCCAGGGGGGGCCGTCACTGTCGTGATACGCTTTGGCCGATCTATCTGTAGCCGGTGGAGCCCGCTGACCATCCTGTAATGCACCTAGCAGCCACCCAAGCACCATGCATCTGCGCGTAGAATCATTGATTCGAATCAATGTACTGGCGACCTGGCTTAGTCAACGTGTTTAAGCCCCCTTGTTACGGACTCGCCATGTTGCTTTTTGTGAGCAGTAAGTACATTCGGATAGGGATCTCCCTTGGAGGCCAAGCGAGAGCCTTACGATTATTCTAGCGACCACATAGCCTCGGAAGATCTGTCAGCAAGTAAGCTCCGTGAATTGAATAGATAGTTGATCGTTTGTTAAGTTTCAGTACCTAATCCCTTGTCACCCTAGATCTGGTCATTTCATCTATCTATTCCTTGAGAGAGGGGTTGAGTGGCTGATGGTGGAGGACAGGACGCATTGGAGGCCGTTGGGCTTGAACAAGGGGAGCACGGCGCGGCCGCTATGGAGCGGCCCATAGCAGGGGCGGAAAATTTGCGTTTGGTATGATTCTCACGGACTTAACACGCCTCCAATATCCTCTATTGAGTGAAATACGCGACCTAAATGGGGGCCCGCGTATCAGTCCAGTCGAAGTGTTCATCCAAGCACGTTCGATGATTATCAGGGACCGGTAGGTAAAGTCAAGACGCGATTTGCCGCCTCATTAATATATGAAGAAGCACGAGTAGACGCGCCCCAACCCAATCGTAACCCATAAATTCCATCCGTGACCATATGGCATAATCTGAGGCTTTGTCAAGTTCCCGTTATTGAGAAGTAAAACCTGTTCCTGGTGACGAGCGGAGATTGTCGTGACCCCGGCATTCACGTCCCGTGAGAGGAGGAAGGCGATTCATCGTGACGCAATGGCAACGGGGCGTCTGAGTCGGTGTATGCAGAAGTACGGCCTTGAGGGCACCGGTGAGGATCGGCTCTTTTGAGGCTTTTCTCTTGCCGTCCCTTTCTACCCTTGACCTGGAATGATACACGCCTGAGATTCGTAAGTATTCGCCAAGTGAATGTGCCTATCGAGGTGTATCCTGCAAACAGGTCTTGGTATTAGACGCCCGAGGGGTTTCACTTGGTCATTGTCCAGCTCTCCTCGCGCCTCCCCAAAACAGCTGATGATTCTTGCTTATTTCTTGCCCCTTCGCAGTTGAGCGGTACTTGCTGGTACTCTCTGTGGCCCCCTTTTTACCTCTGTTCCTACACGTCCACTACTTCTATCTCGTTTCTTTGTGACCTGCAGGTAGTCAGCATCTAAACATAGAATAAACAGGGTAAGATATAATTCTTCTCGACTTACGATTTTCGCAAGCTCAAGTGTTTCCTTGGTCAATTGCCAGTTAGCCTTCAAAGGGCTGATCATGATGAACATGAGTGTCATGCTGTTCTCGCCCAGAAAGGGCTGTAGAACCATCGTGAGTATGTTATCTCTGAACGTTGTGTTTCTATTATCGGCAAGAGCTTCTAATGTGTTTCTTAATGCCATTAGTGATAGGTTAATATCGTTGCCTTCCTTGAAAGCTTTCCCTGTGGTTTGCGCTTGTTTGGTCCTCTCGACGCCTGCAAGATCTACTAGGCTGAGGATACCTTCAAGTGTTTTGCCATGGCCATCTTCTATTTTGGTGACCATTTTGAGGCTAATAATAAAATGGGATCGAGACGAGCCGTTGTTCAAAGCAGTCGCCCCGAAATGTCTGTTCTTCATACCGGCGTCAACTAAAGCGCTAAAGTCCTTAGCTGAGTCGAGATTCTGAAATCCCGAGCCCACGATGCTTCTCGCTGCTCGTGGTCTCTCCTTACTTCCATCTGCTCGTATTAACCACAGATTCTCACCGTAGATCTCAAAGCAGCACGCACTAACTACGAGCTCCTTGCCAAGCTCGCGGAGCCTTTTCTTCTCATTGAAGATCATCGAGCTCACCCTTGGGATAATACCATCATTCTCGTAGTCGGCACGTTCTTCTCGATTCTCGACGTTCTCTAGATTACTCATAGTGTATGTCTTACCGGTGCCTGATTGGCCATAGCAAAATATACAAGCCTTTTTCCCATTAAGGACGGATTGCACGAAGTGTTTGATTCCATTGAAAATATCACCGTTTGTGTCCTCGGGGAGAAATATCCGCTCAAACTTATACCGTAGCTTTTCTTCCTGGACTATTAACTTAGTCGCGTGGTCGTGGAAACGTCCTGTCTCTGTTGTGTATTCCAATAGCTGGCCGGAAGTATCTGGTCGGATGCGACATATTACACGGACGGTTCCCCGAAGCTTTTGAACTTTTTGAAAAAGCAGATGCTTCCTATACTCTTCTATGCTCAGCTTATTGGTTAAATATTCGATATCGCTGTTCAACGTATCCTTAACATCCTGTATTTTTAAATCGAAATCTTTCTGTGCTTGCTGTAGAGCTTCTTGACACAAACTTTCCTGCTTCCGTAGCCTCTCTATCTCTACGATAAATTGCTCTAGCTCTTGCCTTGCGACAATTAATTCTTTTTCCTTTGATTTTAGCTCTATGGTCCTCGCTTCTAATTCATGTGTTATCTGAATTGTATTTGCAGGGTTGCTATTGTCTTGGTGTTCTGTTTCTTCGAACGTTCGCTGTAGCGCCGCGATTCCGTGTTTGTTCGTTTTCATATCTTTGATATGTTGGTCTTCTCCTTGGGCCTTCTTGTCGTATTTATCAAGCCTTAATCGTATTCTTTTGATTTGTCTTTCAAGTTTTGCAACTTTGGCATTAATTTGTGCGTTACTGAGTTGTAAATTACCTCTAGCCATCCATAGGAGACCGGCGATTATGGCTTCTATGAGTGTATACATTTTGGGTTCTTGAATTAGATCCTTCTCGTGCCTATTGTCGGTCGTTCAAAAATTACCCTCGCGACTTTTCTATTTCTGCCCACAATCCTTTCTGTGTCTGTGTTAAATCTTTGGATGGAACAATCCCTTTCAGCAACGGAGACTCAGCTCCTTTATCTTAAGACATCTGCTGTCTCTCACCGCTTGTTACTCTTCCTGTAACTTCTACATTTTACTTTTCTGAAGCTCCCTCGGTATTGCTGGGTTCTGAAATATATTGATGCGTCTACGCTACTCTCCTCTCGTGTAGAATTATCTACTATTTAAATCTCTGTCCTGGTATACATTCCTCCCTGCTCAGCTTGACTGTCTTACATACCTACCCAGGTAGGTACCTAAGGTAGGTAGTAAATCCTATCAACATTTTTGCGGCCCGTCTGGAGCCAGCTAGAGACATATTACATCGAACAATTCTAGTTTCTAGTGCACCTCATAGATTAGTATCATTGGTCTTGATACGTCTCTCTTGATTTGTCGTCACGCTAGGTACGCACGCCGTTAACATTTTCCTCAACCGTTTGACTTATTAATTAGTGTTTATTGGGCTGATGAGATATTTATGAATTCACCATTAGCTTGTAACCGTGTTAGGTATTAGGTAAATATCGATATCTTATAGTCCAAGCGCGTCGCCTGAACGCCGATAGGAGCGCTTCTTGCTTGGGTAAGACGCCGATATTAAATATAGGTAGGTAGTTAATGCCTCTAGGGTTGCGATAAATACGTCGAAGGCTAGGGATGCACTTTTCTTGTCGTATAAAACAAGTATAGCCCTGCCCATTTTCACTATCGCAGCTTCGCTACTGCTGCGTCTTCATTCAATGCAGCCATCGGTTCGGAGCTTCGAGAGCATAGTTGCATAATGTACAACGTATCTAGGTCTATACAATTGGCGACATGAACGATGCGATTCAGGCCAACCTGGTCAATTATACACGAAAGATCTGGATTTTACCAGCCCTGCTTTGTTAACTCTCTGACTCTCTTCACACATGCCTTGAATCCCTTTTGAAATCTCTTCTGCCATCTCTCACTCTTGAGCCTCTTTCGCTTCAGACCGGGTCGCTCGTGGAACCTCTGAGAGTTCAAGTCGTGACGGACCCTATTTGACGATACTTGCATGGACAGAAGCGCAAATGACCGTGCTACATCGGAATTTTTTGTCACATGGACTGTACGGCCAGTTCGCGGGACAAGGCGCAATGGGGGACGGGTAGGGACTGGTCGTTCCTCAAGGAATTTGTTCTTGTTAAGTTCGCCAGTTTCGAAATCGATCTCGGGAGTGAAGGGATCCTCGTACGCCGAGATATTTGGCTTTTTGATTTCATCATCGCCTTTATTTTCTTCTCGAAAAGGATCGCCCCAAATAGAAGAAGTATAGTTCGGGTACCGCGCCCGGGCTAAAGGCGATCTAGGAGAAAGAGTAGGGTCTTTAGGAGGGTTGTTGCCAGTATCGTCTGACCGGAGAATCGGTGAGGTTGAAATATGCCTTATCCTCGGTATTAAGGGAGTAGATATGGTCGAGAAGGAGCATGGTTGCCATCTCGACGTTGAACTTCGGAGGAATGACGTTGATCGAACGGCGACTTGCGCTACCCGACAGAACTCAGCCCTATAAAATATAAAGATTAGGGAAAGTGTGACATAATTGGCGCTTGATATTTATTTATCCTTACATCTTAAGAGTTTTGCGGAAAGTTGGCTAAGTCTCGGGATTGAGACTTAAGATCCAAGGACTTCCTCCGGTGGTCGCAATTAAAGAAAGCAAAGCTTCCGTTAATTGCGGTCGATAACGATTTTCTGATGGGTCCACACTCCGTCTTCTTTTTTTCTTGGCCGGGGAAGAAAAATCCGTGACTCTAGTACCGATGATTTGCCGTAATCTGCCATACCTACCTACCTGTTATTAGGTAATGGTTAAGTTAGTATCTAAGTACCTATTATAAGCCCCACGTGTGGCTGTGCTTCAAACTTCTACCTTTAATAAACTGGAACCTTGTCAACGTTCAATCCTCGCGCGAACTACTTTCGCCCTTGTTAAACATTTTCGTCCTTTCGGTCTTTTCTCTTATTCGAGGCCTTGCGATTCGCATACCTCCTGTCACCGATCGATTCGGTTTTCGATTAATTCCCTACCTCCCCTCTATTACGTCTCCCGAAATCCAGTAGCATTCAGTATTTCTATTATGGCGTATAATCCCTATGGTGGAGGTAAATAGCTTCTTGATATGTTTACTTGAGATGTCCTGTCATTCTATGGACAAAAATATGGATAAGAACAATGCTGACAATATTACTCACCTCAAGTGCCTGGCTTCGGCCCGCCTCCGACGTACGGTTCATATCCTGGAGCTAGCGGTGCTCCAGGTGTTCCGTCTGCTCCTGGTCTAGGTAGGTTGCTGTCGCAATCGAGCATTTCATTATTTATCGTATACTGATATCTACCCCAGGACCTCCTCCAGGCATGTCTGCCCCAGGAATGGCGCCACCACCTGGCGTTCAGCAGCACAACATCAATCAAGCTAATCGACCTAGCGGTCTGCCATCCAACTTCCAAGCTCCTCCGAATATGCCCAATATAAACTTCAACGCCCCCGTCATTCGTCTCGGTACCTCTACGAAACCCCCAACTCCTGGGATGCCAGGTCGCAAAGACAGCGAGACCCCCAGCTCTGCTGGACCTAGAGCCGGTATAGGGATGGAACGTGGCTTAGACCAAACGCGACAAGCCATACGCGAGAATATGCAAGCATTAGTCCCACCTACCAAAGACGAAATCGTGCGAACAGTCTTTGTGAGTGGCATCACGGATGGAATTAGTAGCAACGAGGGTGTGGAGAAGATTCTTAGCACCGTGGGCAAGGTGCGCCGTTGGGACAGAGCTGTCGATGCTGGTGGGAAAGAAATGACCTTTGGCTTTGCCCAGTTCGAAGATATCGAGTCCCTTTGGCTCGCCTCCGAGATCCTAAAAGATATCAAGGTACCCGTGAAAAAGCAAGTACCATCAGACGAGCCCGCGAACGACGACGATTCCTACGCGAATTTCGAAAAGACAACCCTTCAGATTAAACTAGATGAGAACTCGGTAAAATATTTGGAGGCGTATAGGGAAAGTAGGCCTGACGACTCCGGTGCGGAGGCGAGACGGGAGGCTGCCAGAGGTGCGTTAAAGCAGACCATAAAAAATCTCTTTTATCCTACCTCGCGATCTGGAGCAGACGCGGATGGGGATGTCGCCATGGGTGATAGCTCGGCTCAGAACGGCGAGAATGTTGAGGTGGTTAATATCCCCTTGGCACAGGAGGACGAACTAGCCGACATCCCAGCTGAGATGCGCGAGACCGTTGCTGCCGAAATCGCCGCTTTCAGAGAACGAAGTATTAGGCGGGATATGGAACGCCTGAAGAGGGAGGAAGAACTCGAGGCAATGGAACGCCAAAGGAATGGTGCATCTCGACCCTCTCGATTAGCATCCCCGCCTCCTTCTAGTTCGAATACCATTCCGCTAGGACCGCGCGGTGTGCCGAATGCGCCATCTGGTCCGAAGGGGCAGAAATCTGATATGGGCAAGGATTACAATAGGTCGATTAATTTTATTAACGGTGGCACGACGAATGGTGGTCTATCATATAATAGGGATGACGACGACGATTCGGCCAGCGATGAGGAATTGGAGCGTCGCCGAATCGCCAAGCAAAACGCGGAGACTGAGAAGCTCTATCTAGACGCCGAGCGCCGATGGTTGAACCGGGAGAAGTCTCGTACGGCTGCCCTGGAGCGAGAGAAGGAGCGCGACGGCTCGGATGCAAAAGACTTTGCGAAGAACAGAGATAAAGTGCTCCAGAGACTCAAACATTTTGATGACGATGCGGAGGCATCACGAAAGTCCGAAGATTATTACAAGGACCGGAGCGCTTGGATCAGGAATCGCACTGCGTTTAGAGCTAGAGAAATAGCGGCCGACGATGCGGACCGACAAGCAGAAGAACAAGAGCGCGTCAAGGAAGAGGCAGAGCGCGAGCAAGCCCGGGGTATGGCTGATTCGTTCCTCGAGAGGCAGGCTCAGGAGATGGAACAGAGACAAGCCAGTAGGGTCGGAGTCGCCGCGCCTCAACCATTCAAATTATCCCTCGGCGCAGCTGCGCAGAAGGCGCAGGCACAACGTGCGGCGCCACAAAGGAAGACCATTGCCGAGGTTGAGGGTCTTCTCGAGGACGAGGACGAAGATGCGACTTCCAGGCGCCAGCTCATACCAATTCAATTTGAGCCCGCTGCTGCTGCGGCCATGTCCGACGAAGAACGCGACCAAGCTGTGCGTGCGTTGGCACAAGAAATTCCAAACGAAAAGGAAGGACTCTGGGAGTGGGATGTCAAGTGGGATTTCTTAGACGAGAGCGTTATCCGCGAGAAGCTCAGACCTTTCGTCGAGAAGAAGCTAGTCGAATATCTTGGTGTCCAGGAGCAACTTCTTATCGAGGTTGTGGAAGAGCATCTTCGGAAGCACGCCAAGCCTGCGGAGCTGGTAGAGGAATTGGCAGAGGTACGTAAATTATCATATCACAATTTCTTTAATCAACACGCCGATATGCTAACTATACTTTCAGGCCTTGGATGATGAAGCCGAAGCTCTTGTTAAGAAACTTTGGAGGATGGTTATTTTCTTTACCGAGAGCGAAAAGCGTGGCCTTTCTGCATAGGGTGAGAAGGTACTTTGATTCCTCGATGCTTTGCAATAACACCATACCTCAATAACCACTGTACAATTTAAAAGTTTAGAAGTTCGTCTTGTAATTGAGGATATCCAATCCGCAGTTTGAGATAGTCTGCGTGTGGGGAGGGAATACAATGAAGGGAATGAATGCCTTTCGGATATCCGGATCGATGGGAATGAACCATAGTTTTTAGTCGGGAGGCTCATTCTACCCGATAGCTATAAGAAATAATAGCTCTATGGATATGAAGAGCTATTATAATAATACAGAATATAGGAGAGCTACTCGTCGAAGTATACTAGTGCTACCTACTTTAGTTGATTATTTAGTGACAACTTGTACTATAAATTTGAATACCTGGATATATGTATGCAAGTAAGATGCGGAGCTTGACCGTCAGGGGTAACAACCGTGGTCCGGGTCCGGTTTGCGATTTGCGGAGTACTGTGGGTCTAACGGAATACCGAGGCAATTCTTTATATAAGTACAGTAACAAAACCCCCCATTTATTCGGTCAAAGTAAACATTAATCTCAAGGTGAGAATCGATTAATCAGACATCAAACTTACCTCCTAGGTACTAATCTAACCGAGAGAACTGAATATAATCTTATTTGCATCTCGTTTATACTATACTTCGTTTAGCATCTGTTTGGCTTATTTCATTTCGTTAGGTCCTTTTAACTTATCACTTTACATCTATTATTAGTTCCTGCATCATCCCGTCTTACGTCTACAGATATTCAATCTAAATAAATCCACTTCGAACCTCCTTTTTAAACATCCACCATGGCTCCCCAATCTCAACAACCCCCATCTTCACTCACAACGCCACCCCCCAATGTCCCAGATACCCTAATATCCTTCCCGAGCCCACACGTCCTGCTCGTAGCACTCAACCGCCCACAACAGCTCAACGCGATCCCGCGCCCGCAGCACTTCGCCCTCGAGCGCCTGTGGGACTGGTACGATGCGGAGCCTTCGCTACGCTGCGCCGTTATTACCGGCTCCGGCAGGGCCTTCTGCGCGGGCGCAGACCTGAAGGAATGGGATTCTCTCAATTCTTCTTCCTCCGGGGAACAGGCGGTTTCGGCGGCAGAGGAGCACGGTCGACAGAACAAGCGCTTCCCGCCCGGCGGTTTTGGCGGCATGAGTAACCGCGGCGGGCTAAAACCTATCATCGGCGCTGTTAACGGCATCTGCTTCGGCGGCGGCATGGAGATGGCGATTAATTGCGACTTGGTCGTCGCGGCTGCGTCGGCGAGTTTCAGCCTGCCCGAGGTTACTATCGGGGTCATCGCGCTGGCGGGAGCATTGCCCCGGCTCGCGCGTAGCGTGGGCAAGCAGCGGGCCTCGGAGATGGCGCTTGGCGGGAAGAAGTACGGCGCAAAGGAGATGCTGGCGTGGGGGCTGGTGAACGAAGTCGTGGAGGGCGATGGTAGAGCTGTGCTGGCGAAGGCGCTGGAATGGGCGCAGCGTATCGCGGGGAATAGTCCCGATGCGGTTATCGTGTCGCGCGAGGGGTTGAAGTTAGGTTGGGAGGGGGTAGGGCCGGAGCAGGCGACGGATGTTTTGCTCAAGGGCTGGTTTGGACGTATAGAAAAGGGGGATAATGCGGTTGAGGGCGTGAAGAGCTTCGTCGAGAGGCGGAAGCCGGTTTGGAAGAATAGTAAGTTGTGAGTGTAATTGTTGAGTTATTTTTTAAGAATTAGCTAGGTACCTAGGATCTCGGGATGTTTTATGTAGTTTCACTTCGGAGCCAAGAGCAATTATCAATTACAAATGATGATCTTATAAGGTTTTCCTAAGGTTCTCCTTGGATAAAGAGAAATTTGAAGAAATTTCCTAGAGTTATCATGATATCATTTCACTGATGAATACCAAGGTATTCATCTGATAACTAGTATTTTCTTTTCCCCTTCCTTTTAAAACATAAGGCTTTTACGGTTAAGTTTTGCATCATATTTTCAAGTCTAAAAGGGTATATATAAACCATTTGATACATAGGATACCTAATCCTAACATGCCTAACAGACATAGGCGAATTTATCATCATCATCAGTACCCCTAGCTATGTTCTAAGATAATAGCTATGTTTTAAGATTAAGACAGTAGGTACGCCACCTTTTTCTGACCCCTTTCCCACTTATACCCAATTATAGTTACAATATCTAGTAAGAGATCTTATTTCTATTATGCCTTTGCTGTAATATACCAACATGTCTAGCTATCTTTCTCTAACCTTAACTAGGACCTGGGGGCATTTCCGGCTTTCTTTTTGTCATTGCCCCTTGGGTATCAAATTTGACGGTCGCCACTTAGTGGATCTCGGTATTGTATAAGTAATACTCGGTATAAGTTCCGGTAGTTTCTACCATATCATCTGATGGCGATATTCCTGAAACCCGAGAACACCCTCGAAGGCCTCGTAGAGTCCCGTCTCGTGATGGCGCTGGCTGGAGAAGACGATATCATGTGTTGGCTAGATAATACCTACATCCCGGGTTGAATATGACCGGCCATTTCGCGGTGTAGATGGTCCCGGTGAAGCTTCTACTGCGTCGTATCGGTCTACAAAGCTTCCTAGGATCATCTTATTTACAGATCCCGATACATGTTCAGTATCAACAATGTCGCTAGAAGCGGTCTTGTTAGTATCTATTGAACTGATCCAATGGGAGGTAGGTATAGTTAATATGTCTTCACTCACGGAATTGAGTACTCCTTCCCAATGTTATCATCCAAACGTGCCAATATATCAGGAATCCCAGGCCCTAGAGCGACGAATTGGATGGTAAACCATCGTTTCTCAAGCTTCAATGCAAGGGCTGGTTTTCTGAGAAACTCCGCAATTGACCTTTCGACACTTGTTTCGTCAGATGTTCCTGCCCAGTTCCCATCAGTCAATACAATCAATGTCATCTCTCGCTCTGTGTTGCGAAGATACCCATCGAAGATATGAGTCAGGACGCGAGTCATATCCGTTTGCATTTGGTATTTCCGTGACAGTGCTTCTTGCATAGCCCCTTTAAACTTAGACAAGAGTTTCCTGCCCGAAATACCGTACGCGTTGTACTGATGATTTACGGTAAATTCAATATCTAGACCATCTTTGTCTAGTCGATCGACCTTTGCTACTAATGTTTCCATTACTATTGACATCGCTTGCCAATATGATTCTATTGTTGAGTTGTTGTCGATAAGTAATTTCTAGAGTGGGTGCTGTTTATTAGCAGTGCCTCCTTATCTAGCGTACTTGAGTGTTTCCTTACGATGTCTTGATTTACGAGAAATTTTTTCAAGTAGTCATCCGGGCCCTTTCTGAAAAACTTGGCTTTGAAACGTCTCTCTTTGCTTTTTTGTGCATGATATTCTTCAAGTATTGGCCATGAAGAATTGAGTTCGAACTGTTTTGGTGGCGAAAATATTTGTGGTATGGGACAATGGATAGAGAATCGAGATTGAGTCCTCCTTAGATTTTCCAAATGTCCCTAGACATGTACTTAAGCTTTTCCGAGACTCGACGTATGCGGTGGTTGCCTTATTGCAGCCTGCTGATGCGGCTTCTTTAGAATATTTATCCAACCCCTGTCTAACTACCGAGATTGACTTTACCTTAGGTACTTTTCTTGCTACATCGTATGACATGTATATACTATTTCTATTCTTTCCATTTCCCATGTTAGGAGATCATAAGTCTAGTCCAGATCAAACTATAACACACTCGTTCATGTATCAACTTTGCGGCTATCAAATCCAATAAATCATCATAATTTTCAAAGGTTTTATGCGACAACGAAATTTAGATATATTTATCAGCCTAACAACCGACCGGAGAGGGCCTATCAAGCGGGTTTGGGTTGCACAGATCTCGATTCATAGGCCAGGAGTACCAGCTGAATTATTATAAAGATATACTAGCCCCCAATGCTAATGATTTAATGAGTCGTATAAGGGGGAGCCTTACAATAAGCAGGCGCATCACTGAGATTTATAAGAGGGGGATCACCTCTTACGAATATCCCAGGAATACCGTACACCTTTTTCAATATGTGGCTCCTAATATACCATGTATATCCAAAAAAGAAAATCCCCCAAAAGAAAAAGAAGGACTGAAATTTTTGGATTCTCCTGCTGAAACCGGCTCCAGGATTGGACCTCTACTCATAAAGCTAGGTAGGCATTCTTCCTTTTGAAGGTCTCATTCAAATAAGGCACAGCAGGTGTGTAGTACTACATAGCAAATCTTACGGCTTAATTGATAGAATAGAGGACCCCAATCAGACATCAAAATGCGAGTACTACCACCACATGAACATTGGGGGTTAAGCTCGGATGATACCTTAGGTACTGAAGGGATGCCCCGCTCAGCAAATATATAGAGTCTGCCGGCGCTCTGCCCACCTTTGTAATTGCGTGAACTGCCAAATGATAGATATTACCTAGCTGGCTGTTCATCACCTTCTCGTACAATGGATCGTGTTGACCTTATCTCGGACGGTGTGTCCCTGACGCTGTATCTCGGTTTAGGGATATCCTGGATTCTACTTTCCACCCTTTTCGTCATGATTCGTTTATGGAATACCTGGGCGAAAGAAAAGACCTTTCTAATCGAAGAGTGTACGTTCACACACGGCCTCTGTCAATTCATGGGCGATGTTTACATATTAATAAGAAACATGTTAGATTTGTCTATTATCGCGGTTTTGTTTTTAGTCCCTGTCTTCGTACTGAGGATATACGTAGCACGGGCATATGCAAACATGATTGAAACTGGTGTGTTCAAAAATCTCCGCCAACGTCGAAATCTAATACATGAAATAGGATCAGAAACACCGGATAGGACTATATCTTTCTATTTATCCGTAACGTTGAAACCATCTTACTCCCTTCATTGACATTTATTAACTTATTTCAGATGGAAATAGCCCAAACTATAATTGCGGCGTTCTTATCATTCTTTGCCAAAGCCCCCTTATTCTTCCTTTACATTCGCCTTTTCGGATCTGTGAAGTGGGTTCGAATAGTTAGCTATTCTTCTATTGTCCTGACGCTTTTGCAATTTATAATAGGCTCGTCCATGCTGGGCGCCTATTCTAGTCCAATAGGAAGATCTCCATTAGATGATCGTTTCTTCATCAATACCTTTATGATGTGGAATTCTTATGTTGTATTGTGGAATGGGATCGTTGCGGTTGTTACCGATATAATACTCTTCCTTATCCCATTTCCAATTATCATCAACTTACAGCTTCCGCTTCGGAAAAAGATCAACTTAACAATTGTGTTCATGGTTGGAATTTTGTAAGTTAAAGCCGAGCATAATTCTTATACATTCCGGCTGCTAATGCCCATCGTGACTTAGTGGAATAACCTTAGGTGGCCTCTCCTTGACCTGGCGGGTGTTAACTCTGAGGCACAGAACAAACCCCACGTATGTTTTAATGCTTAGCACGTATGTCAATAACAGTCCCAGAGACCCTACAAACCCATAGCTTACCTATCGCCTCAGTATTTGGGAATGTTCTTTAGCTATTATGATCAGTTGTGTGCCGGCAATCCTATCGTTCTGGACCAACTACGTCTCAAATTCGACTTTACATCTACAAATCAAATCGGCTATAACATCTATACTTCATCGAAAACATGAAACGTCCATGGGCAGCTGTGAGAACCTTCAAGAGCATACAAGCAATGACCATTGTTTAGCGAGACAGAATGATGAAAGCGCTATCAAGGAGTCTCGAGATATCAAACATGGCACCTCCGAAACTTGGCTAACCATTTAAAGCACCTAATACGAAGCATAAAAGAAATTTAATTTTTCTCTAAAGGGGCTTATCCTTGTTCATGGTTTGATGGCCTGTATCGAATAATCGTTCTTTTATCACGAGTCTAGCCCAAAATGCCCATAGATTTAATTTCCTACATAAACCATTTCAAAGATAGCAGAACTCAGAACATCATGTTAATTCATAACAATCACCAAATACTTCCTAGGACCCAATTCTAATGCGAACTCGCATACGGGACTTAATAGCTAGCGTGGTCAGACGGCACCTGTAGGTAATACATCGCCGTGCCATTCATCAGTCGCCCCCTTAATCATCTGCTTGCTAAACTTTCGCATCGTGATATAAAAATTCTGCACGTAGGATTGGAGGCAGACTCATCAGTAAACTGAAAAGGTACAGGAATCTCAGCCCCTTTTGGAAGTCAGATCTCTGAACGAGCTTGTCACGCCACGTCATGACGTTTGGGAACTCGTTGATGCTAATACTGCACCACTTGGCCGAATATACTCCCGACAATAAGACGCGTCACCGCTCACCTCGCCTTCAAGTCGAAACCTTAGGCCAGAAATGAAACCTTTTTAAGCTTTCGAAGGTGGCCGTGGGTTGGTCCTCCATCGCACAGGCTAGTTGAGTTCTAGGGAACATCTGGTTAGTTGAATCGCAGTAAACTTTCAACCTCACTAGCCCTTTTTAACAGCGTTACGTACTAGGTAGGTTAGGTACCTATAATACATACACTACATATACCTAGAGGCAGAGTGACTGTTACTGACTGATAAGCAACTGGATAGGCCATAGGTACCTATGCTTCTATCTACTAGGACTTAAGGTATAGGGGTTGCATGCTTAACCCAAGAGCACTTAGGTACCTATTTTCCTACCTTCAATAGGTACATTGTTGCGGTAGTCATCTTATTTCTAGCACTCTGATATACCTTAGGTGCGAAAGGTGTACGCAATGGAGACAGTCACAGGCATCAATCTTGACGTCCTCACACCAAGTTGATGTCTGTGCTGGCACGTAGTGAGGTAAATAGCTCGTAAGAATCCGCTATAGTTCCGAGGTTGTATATCAAACGCGTAATCCTTTGGAAAGCTCAGACCGTCGATTCGCTCTGCTCCCGTACCAATATGTGACTCAAGGCAGACAAGTCGTCACAAGGCCAAAGCTAGTCGTGTCGCCATTCATCATAGCGCTACAACTCTCCCTCGTCTACGACTATATAAAGGCATTCCACCCCCCGAGATGTCTGGATTTCTCTTCTACTTTTTTCCTCATACTTTGTCCAAAGCTAAGATGGATTTCTTCAAATCCGGAGCAGGACGTGGCTATCTTTCAGATGGCCCGACGAAGCCATTTTCCTTTAAATCAATCTCACTTCCACCACATCACTTCCACCACTTCATCCAGCACAATAACCTTCCTCTGCCCAAATCTATCATCCCTCCCCCTTCTATCAATCATCTACACTACAGTCATCCCCATCCCATTCCCTTCACCCCCCCTCTCAGTCTACGCGTCTTCTTCGATACCCTGCTTAGAGCAAGGAGATCAATGAAAAAACGTGGACATCAAAAATTGTGCGAATGCTCCCCGACCTTGTGATAAACACAAGACCAGGTAACCCAGGGGCACGATGTGCAATGGCACCCTGGGGAAGAAGTAATTCTTGAGCTACCTCTTCCATCGCTAGTAAGGTATGAAGAAGAAAGGAAAAGAAAAGAGGAATTAAGTGGGAGGACAGCTGGATTATTATAGTGCTGGGAACGAGAACCCTTGCGGCCGCTCGATGGGATAGGGGGAAGTCGTGGGGACATGAGTGTCAATGAAGGAAAGGAGAGTTTGGTATTGATGACGCAGTGTTGGGTGTCGGTTGCAGATGAATCAAACGATCGCATAGGGGGGGACGGGGAGGGGTGGAAGGCGAGGGCCAGAATGTCGCACGAAATTGGGGGGGTGCAAAGGGGTGGAAGGGGATAGGAGGAAGAGCAATGAAGGACTTGGTACGTTATGGGAACTTGGGAGGGGTGGAAGGCGAGGGCTAGAACGTTGCATAAAACTGAGGGGCGCAAACGGGTGGAAGGGGATAGGAGAAGGGGGTAGGAGAAGGGGGTAGGAGAAGGGGGTAGGAGGAAGGGGGTAGGAGGAAGGGGATAGGAGAAGGGGATAGGAGGAAGGGGATAGGAGGAAGAGCGACGAGGAACTTGGTACGTCATGGGAACTTGTGGGAACTTACATGGGAACTTATAGGGCAAGTGTCACTTCATAAATTGAAACGAGTTCTTGCTCTATACGACACTCTTACACTAATTGTGGGAAAGTACATGACGAATATCACATTGAAAGAGGCAGGTTTCAATGAGATG